AGTGTTCCCATAAATCAATGTCAGACATTCCAGTCCGATCCCCAATATCCTTGAACTTCTGAGCGAATTCCGCAACTGTCTGACCTTTAACTTGCTTGAGATTTTTGATCTTGCTGCGAGAAGGGACAGGGACTGGATCTATGCAAAAGGGTGTGTGTTCAAAATATACCAAGCTGGGGCTTCGGGACATTACAAGATTACTTAAATAGGTACGGGAAGTGAACAAGGGGACATTGGGGAATCTGGAGAACATGAGGCAGGTAATTGAGATTGGTACTTAATGGGTCCATAGGAGGTTTTGTGCACGCATCGGGGGATCTAGGCGTTATAGGAGGTTCTGTGCACGCGTTATAGAGAGGGTATCAAAAACAGGGGGGTTTGTACTGGTGGTTGTACTGTCTTGGGGAGGTACCGGGAGCATGAGATACGCGAGGTAGGGGCTGTGGGAGCATGTGGTTGCTGCTGGGACTAGTCTGGTTGTAGTCAGGGCATGACATGGACCTTCTAGGAGCCCCTTCAAGGGTCACATCTCACAATTCCAACCACTACTAGGTCATTCCTGTCCTTGGTCGCGGTTCCCGTAGCTCCCTTTGAGCTCCAGCTTGCTCTTAGCACGCTACAACATAAACTCCTCATACCAAACCCAACCTTAAGACCAATTCTGACCCAGGTCTTACATTCCTGCACAATGCCGTGCTGAAAACCTGCCTGGAAAGATGGGATTTGCATGTACTTAGTATTACACTAACTTGCATGTCCCAACATCCATCGCAGCACTCTCGACACTTTCCTCATCATTGAACCACCCATCCATTAATATCATTATCTACTTCACTCCTCATTCAATAATCATCTGTTCAGTCACATCCACAGTCTCCAACAAACCCTGCTTCTCAAACATTTGACCACACTCCTTTCAATATCCGCCAAAGCCAGCAACAGTATGAGACAATGTGAAATTGATTGCAGGAGGAGATAATATCCATGTGTCCCCTACCATTCATCCATTGCCGTAACTTGCCTCATTTGCCTTCTTCAATTCCTGACCTGTGTTGGTCTTTGGGTTGTTCGGGACTGGACATCCAACATCTATTGATCCAGGTGTAACACTCACTATGCTCAGCCAAGCTCTAAATATCCTGTACATGGGATGGGCTGAACTCCGGGGTTCATTGGCAGGGACTGTGTATTATGGTCCGGTTGCTGGACATGGGTTTCTCTTGTGTCACGAAGCGGCAGAGGCGGAGTGACTAGCGGAGCAGGAAAGCGGAGTGACTAAGCAAGGTGATGAGGCGGAGCGACTAAGCGGAGCAGAGGCAAACTGGTCCCAGATAATGACAGAGATATATTGAGTATCGTAGTCATAGGTAACAATAAGTAAGCACATACCTGGTCCCAGATAATGACAGAGAGGTCAAGATAAGGGACCAGGCTGTGAGGGATTGGCTTTATATACATAATCCGATCTGCGAGAAATGACGATGTAATACTGTACAGTTTAGGAACAAGGAAGGTGGCGGAAGCCAGTAGAAGGAGAAGGGTAACAGGTGGATCAGTAATCAATGATGGGGGTCAGGTGGATCAGTAATTGATGGAGTTTGACAATGATGTAATCGTACAAGTAAGGGCGTCGAGACGGTGAGAAAAGGAAAATGATAGGGGCTACGTACTTCATGACATCTTGCATGATTTTGAGTTAACGAGGGAGATGAGGGAGGAGGGGATGGTTAGTGGGGTTGTAGGAGGGATCTGACAAAGGAGAAGAAGGAGGAACAGGAGAGGGAGAAGTAGAAATTGGTAAGAGGATGCAGAGGGGTGCAAAGAAGGTATGAGTGGATGTAATTGGACTCATAGTTGTATCCCATTCTGTGTGTCCTTGTATCCTGTAGACTTGTATGTACTCCAATCCAGCACAACTTTAAATATGCAGAAGGCATGTGCAGATGCATGGACTATTTGTGCAATTGTATCCCTATATTGTAGATCCCTTCAGGACTTACTTGCTTGTAGTCTAATCCACTGTTGGGTTTAGTACAGACAGGCTGCTGCTTTACTGATCCAACATTACAAGATAGCATCTGCAAAACATGTATCTTTGGCTAACCATCCGAGAGCAGCTGAGAGTGCTTCCCAGCAGCCAAAGCACCCTGAGCAAGTTGAAAATCTTGCTTTCGGTGCTTTCGATGCTGGAGAGCGCTCTCCAGCCGGTACCCTTGCTCTGGCAAACATACAGGTTTTGCAGATGAGGCCCCCAGCTTATATCCTTCCCCCTAGTATTGGCACAACATTGGTTTCAACCATACTGAATATATCAATGCAAAACCAATGGAAGCCACTGATTTCATCCTCTGCTTTTATAAATGCTACCATTCTGGTTTCATTCAAGTTGAATTATGCAGAACAGGTGGCAGGACGGGTTTGCCATGTGAGGCGGCGGCAGGTGTACAGAGTACAGAACAAGGAAACGGGGATCAAGCAAACTTTAAAGTTCAATATGTGCGGTTCTAAAATGCAAGAGAACGCGGGTATGGTATTGAATACAAAGGCAGATCTCCTGCCCTGTTCATTGCATGCTATTATTTGAGCCATGGGAGCTTTGCCAAGCAAGCAACACTAAGGAAAAGACTCACAAAGTCCCAGGAGCAAACAGGCAAAGGTTCTTAATTGATATGCGAGCCAGATGATGACTAAGAAAAAGGTACAGAGAGGACGGTGGTGTACCACTGAGGAAGTCAAGAAGTAAGTGTATGGGTATTATATATACTACCTGAGGATAAATGATGTCAGTGATGCATTGGAGGTAGAGACACAGGGGCGTGCTTCCATCAGGCCTGTATATACAGTAAGCAATGCATTCACATTGTAGATGTCATGCCTTGCCCCGAATCACATAGCCCATAAGCTCCCCAACCTAGTTCCCAACCTCCTCACTCGGACCACAATACCCCACTGTTAAATAACCTCCCATGACACCATAACCTCCCAGGAGTCCCCTATACCACGGAACCCTATTCAACCTCCCGACAATAATCTCAAGACTCACATACGCCATCGGACAATCCCCCATCAGTTTAGCCTCATGGGCTCCGCACTTCACGCCATCCCCATTAGATGCCCGTTTACTACAATGTCCCTTTACCTATTCATCTCACCTATCTAAGTATCCTCGGTAACACAAACGCCCCCAGCTTGGTATATTTTGAACACACACCCTTTTGCATAGGTCCAGTCCCTGTCCCTTTGTACCTGCTAACCATACAGATTTCTCTTTACACTCTGTTTCTTTATCTCTGTTTCTCTCAACTCTTGTCTCTTGTCTCTACAATCATCTATACGATCTAATACACGCTGTTACTTCACGTCTAAGCAATCCGAGTGCGTCTCCGAGCTCCCTCAAACAATACTAAAGCTCCCCAACGCCTAACGCCTCGGTGAGCTAACCTCCCCAAAACCTCCTTGAGCTCCCCAATTGTTCCACAAGTTTTGGGACCTCAATCTAGGTAACGTCGAAGCTACGCCCTACGTCGAAATATGTGCCGCTTCTCTGTTACTACCTCCAACACTCGAGGACGTCCACCTCTACCCCCAGTTCTCGGGACCTCCCCTCCCGGGTGTATACCTTCTCAGGAGCTTATACATTCAATACTCATTCTCTCTACGACCTATTCGATCTTACGTTGACATTCTAGCGAGTACAACTCCTCCTACGCAATGCTACTAGGTTCCGTAACCCTACTTCCTCTACCTACGCCTTAGGGACCTCCCTGGACCTTACAGGAACCCCTTCAAGGGTCACACCTCTCAATCCCAGCCAATACTAGGTCATTCCTGTCCTCGGTCGCAGTTTCCGTAGCTCCCTTCGAGCTCCAGCCTGCTCCTAGCACGCTGTCACGAAGCGGTGGAGGCGGAGTGACTAGCGGAGCAGGAGAGCGGAGTGACTAAGCAAGACGGTGAGGCGGAGCGACTAAGCAGGTCAGTGAGGCAGAGCGACTAAGCAGGTCAGTGAGGCAGAGCGACTAAGCGGAGCGGAGGCAGACTGGTCCCAGATAATGACAGAGATATGTTGAGTATTGTAGTCATAGGTAGTAATAAGTATGCACATACCTGGTCCCAGATAATGACAGAGAGGTCAAGATAAGGGACCAGGCTATGGAGGATTGGCTATATATACATAATCCGGTCTGCGAGAAACAACAATGTAATACTGTACAGTTCAGGGGCAAGGAAGGTGGCGGAAGCCGGTAGAAAGAGAAGATGGGTCAGGTGAATCAGTAATCGATGGGGAATTGACAGTGATGGAGTGATGTATCGTACAAGTAAAGGCGTCGAGACAGTGAGAAAGGGAAAATGATAGGGGCTGCGTACTTTATGACATTACCCCCCTCCTTATGACCATTGCCCTCAATGGTCAAGGTTTTGCCGCTGTTGGGTGTTTTTTATGAAAGGCTTGAACAATTTTTGGTGCCCGACTTAGGTTGGCTGCGGGTTCCCAAGAGTTGTGCCCTGGGGGGGCTCCTTGATCCGGTACCACCACCATCAAGGTAACGCCTGTACCCGTCGCGAAAAAATAAGTCGACGAAAGCTGAGTACCAGCTTTCCAGAGCCAGTACGAACTCTGGAGACCTCTCCCAAGGAGGAAACCTGCACTCAAAGCTACGCCGATTGCCCGCACGGCATAGTCAAAACATGTACATGTAATAACGAATAACTAATAATTCTACCACGTAACACGTTAACACGTGTACGTCCTCATGGCCTCGCACACATGCCTGGTGGACAACTCTCAAAGGACGACCCACTACTCTACAACGAGTGCCCCGTGAATGTCCGAAGGAACGCCCTCGATAACCATCTACCCTGGCCGACCAAACGAACGATGAACACGATGTAATAACCGATGTCAGTTATGCCACAAGTCAAAGATAGCAAATGCTCTTATACCCAGAGGCCTCCTACATGAAGGTTCAGAGCTCCACCCTCATCACCTCCACACAAAACTCATGTCTGTCACACCCATAGAAAACCACCTTACCACCCCCGGTACTACGGCGGCAGCAGCTGGAGGAATTGATGTCATAAGCCCTCACACTCCCCCAGACCGCCCCAACAAGCATGCGAAGCATGGTCCAGACGCCTCTGCCCACCAAACTCCACACGTTTTGAACCGCACGGACGCAGGCAGGAAAATGCCAGCTCAACAACAGACTGAAAAGACGGGTACGAGAGACCACAACACGAGCGCTGCAGACAGTGACATGTCTCTCTCAGAAGACGAAGGAAGATACCACGGAGGAACCCCCGCCAATGACCCCTTCACGATAAACCCTCTCCCACGTACCAGATACAATCCTCGGTATGTAACCGAGCCTACCAATAACCCCACCATGACCTAACCACACCTATAGAGAAGACCTCCAAAACATGTCCATGCATGCCACGCAACACATGAACCCCAAGGACCATGGAACGGCTCACAACCTGTCCCCTACCACACCCCCCTCCCCAACAATCACCCGGCGAGGAAATCGTGCAGCGCTATACCCTAGGGATAGTATACCCCCGAACCTAGACCCCTTAGATGAAGAGGATGACCTGACCCCAAACGAGAACGTGGAAAACCCTCACGGACGCCTAGACCACTCAGGTCCTGAAAGCAAACCCATTCAAGACCTCCTCAGCATGACCTTCCTGAACGACGGACGATTCAGACATGCTGTCTTCTACCCTTCTGACCTCCTCCAAGGAGTATCGAACTCTAAAATACCCATGCTCCTATCAGGGAGCGACATCTGGGTAGCGGTAGTATTCTTTAACAGAGGGAATGTGATGCACCAAAAGATCCGAACCACAGTTAAAGACATCGAAGCCTTCCTCACATCCATTGGCTGCGAATCCCACCAAGGACAAACCATAGCCCCCTTCTACGACAACCCACCTGATCCTACACCCAGCAATAGAGGGAACCCCAACGGAGGCAGAGGATTTGGGCGAGGCGGACGTGGATCCCGAAACAGAGGACGAGGTGCCGCCACCGGTGTAGAACCCCAGCCCAACCCGAGGCTTAAATACGCAGGACCGAACACCGCATTCATCCGAATCACCTCCCCCAAGCTCCGCGACACCCTACTCCGCATCCAATCCTTCGCGCTCTCACGCATCCTAGCGTTCCACCTCGTACCAATCAATGTCAATCGGCGCCCCTCTGTGGTCTGCCTACTATACTCGACAGCGCTGGAAAACGGAGAGCACACCCAACAACAGATCCTATACAGCATCAAGCAGAAACTGCGAGTCAACAACCCGGTATTCTCAGCCCTCTTAGCACCCCGTGTGAGACTCCCTGGTTCCACGGGACACAAAATCCGCACCTTCGTTAACTCAATGGACCTGGTGCCCGCCGGATACGAAACCGAGCGCCAAGGTCGTACAGTCCAAGTATGGGTCCTATACGCCGCTCCCCTCGCCTCAGGCTCAGACTACAACGAAACCGATGCAAATGAAAAAGCTATACGCCGGTACATTGCCTCACTCCGGTTTGAATTTGTCGACCTCGAGGAGAACACCTCAATCGACAGCTGGGGAGAACAAACAGAATGCTCGTTGTGCAAGTTGACAGAACACCACTTCTTCATGTGCCCATTCAAGACTGAACCATGGACGGGCCCAATGGACCACATCGACGCATGCATCGAAAAGCACCGGGAGAGTGTAAAGCAGGTGAAAGCGCTCACGAAGGTCTAACATATCCCTTTACATATGTATGTGCTACTGCGAATGTATCCTACATAGAACCCAATAGCACTGTGTCCATCCTCACTGCTGAAGACTGACAACTAAGCCTGGGACTAGAAAGTCGTGCAACACCAGCACGCAACCCTCTTCCACCTAATTTACTGACTACACGTAGGACAGGACGTGGAACGAGGTCACACGTAACTAATCCTCATGAGGCCGATTCCTCCTGAAGAGCAGTTACGTCGCAATGGTGGGGCTATTTAGCCTGGGGTCCACCTGCCAGCAGTCCTGGCCTCCCGTCGTCTAGAATATGTCCACGCCCAGGAGTGCATACTCATTCGCCGCGGAAACCCCCGAATAAGACAACTAGTAATCGACCCTCGCGAGGTGACTGCTAGGTCTACTATTTGCAACTAACCGCTTCCAACACTCTTAACCATTTTAACTCTAACGGTGACAACGACAGGTTCATGGATACAGGCACTCCCGGACCCAGAGGGAGTACGGATGCTGCCTCCGTTCATGCTCCCGATGATGGTAACGGAAATGGAGAGGAAGAAACGGCCCCCTTGGGAGATACCTTGAACGCAGCACGCGGATCAAGGGGCACCAGTACGAGTGCTGGTGAGCAGCACGCGAGGACACGGCCTTCCCAAGGCTGGGGGTGGATAACCCCAATGGACAAGCACCGCCCACGAATCACCAAACTGAACAGATCGTGCACAGACAAAGGCACTCTACTAGCCACCAAAAAGACAGATGTCACTTAAGAACAAAGACCTCAATTAAAATTGCGGGACTCAATATCAGAGGCCATGGCTCAACCAACATTGAACATGCGGCAAACAAATGGGGTGATATACGCCTCATGATGCTCGACCGTCGTATTGGAATCCTTGTTATCGGAGAAGCTCACATGAATGCAGATCGACGGGATGACATTGACCGAAAATATGGCAAAGACATTAAACTGTACTACACCAAACTACCTGACACCCCAAATGCAGCAGGCGTAGCAATAATCCTGAACAAAAACATTACAAACGTTGAAGGAGTACAAACACACGAAATTGTCCCTGGACATGCAATGCTACTAGAATACTACTGGCACAATACTGAACGTTTATCTGTACTCGCAATCTATGCCCCAAATACTGACATCCCATCCAATACAAATTTCTGGGTGAAAGTGCGAGAATTCTTTGCACACCACCCAAGAATCCGAAAACCAGACTTCATGATAGGCGATTGCAACATGGTAGAAGAACCACTTGGCCGATTACCGGCACGCAGTGACAGTACCTTGACTGTTGATGCACTAGACGAACTGAAAAATGCAATACAAGTAGAGGATGGCTGGAGAAACACATACCCTACAACCCTACAGTACACATACAGACAAAAACGGACTGGCCAGATAACTAAACACTCAAGACTCGACCGCATATACATTAACCCCAACAAGATGCCCTACTCCTACGAATGGAAAATTGAAAGCCCGGGTGTGGCAACAGACCATGACCTGATTTCGGTGCGATACACATGCGAATCTGCACCAATAATCGGACAAGGCAGATGGATCCTCCCTAAATACTTGATGTACGACACAACTATTAAGAAGTTCCTCGATGAAGATGGGAAGCAACTAGAATCGGAAATGGATAGAGTGGATGGAAACATAGATTGGGATCCAACCGACAACCACCAGACACTATGGTCAAATTTTAAAAAGTGCTTCACCAAACTTGCTCGGGAACGCGCAAAAATTGTAATTCTGAGACTAGCGAAACAGATTGCAGAGCTAGAAGCCAAAATAGACACTATTAGCAATGACATACAGATCACAGAAGAAGAACGCTCACTTTCCACGGCAGCTCTCAAAGATGCACTGGCAACACTCGAAGAGCGACGCTACAAAACTGTGCGGACCACTGCCCGAGCAAAATTCACCATACAAAGTGAAACAATATCAAGATATTGGTCTAACCTAAACAAAGACAGAACGAAAAGGGACCTAATCCAACACCTAGAAATACAAACACAACATGATGAGCCAGCGAATCATAGCCCAGACATGCAGGGAGCACCAATTTACGAAACGAACTCACTCCGAATGGCGGACATGATGAAGGAATACCATGAAAACTTACAAAAAGACCACCAACCACCGAATGAGAATGTACGCAGACAAACTACCTATGAAATATTAAACAACATCGAAACAAAGGTTTCTGACCAGCATAAACATGAGATTGAGAAAAAACTCACACTCGCTGATGTCAACGAAGCCCTAAAACTGTCTGCAAACTACAAAGCCCCAGGCCTTGATGGTATATGCTATGAAATATGGAAACTCTTGCAGGCCCGTTTCGAAAATGCGAAAGCACACCAAAAGCAAGCCCTGAACATCATCCATACACTTCAAAGAGTATATAATGACATCGAAAACCATGGACTGGCACCTGGCACCGAATTCTCGGAGAGCTGGATGTGCCCATTGTACAAAAAAAATGACAGGTCCCAGATGGCTAACTACCGCCCAATCTCCCTACTAAATACAGACTACTGTCACGAAGCGGCAGAGGCGGAGTGACTAACGGAGCGGGAAAGCGGAGCGACTAAGCAGAATGGTGAGGCGGAGCAACTGGACAAGGCAACAAGGCGGAGCGACTAAGCAGAACGGCGGCAAGCTGGTCCCAGATAATGACAGAGATATATTGAGTATCGTAGTCATAGGTAATAATAAGTAAGCACATACCTGGTCCCAGATAATGACAGAGAGGTCAAGATAAGGGACCAGGCTGTGGAGGGTTGGCTATATATACATAATCCGGTCTGCGAGAAACAACGATGTAATACTGTACAGTTTAGGAACAAGGAAGGTGGCGGAAGCCAGTAGAAGGAGAAGATGGGTCAGGTGGATCAGTAATCGATGGATCAGTAATCGATGGGGGTTTGACAGTGATGGGATGATGTATCGTACAAGTAAAGGCGTCGAGACGGTGAGAAAAGGAAAATGATAGGGGCTGCGTACTTTATGACAACTACAAAATCATGACCAAAGCCCTCACTATTAAACTAGCAAAAGCCGCACCTGAAATTATCAACCCGGCTCAGGCGGGATTTGTTCCTGGCCGACACATTTACAACCAAATATGGCTCTCCAAACTAATTATAGACCTTGCCGAGACTACAGAACAAGATGGAGCCATAATCGCATTAGACCAAGAAAAAGCTTACGACAAAATCAAACATGATTACCTCTGGCAAACACTTCAAGCATATGGTATCCCAGATGAATTCGTGAACACAGTCAAAGCACTATACTCAGACGCACCCACCACTGTCCTGGTTAATGGCAATAAGAGTTCAAACTCATTTAAAGTAACGAGAGGTGTCCGACAAGGAGACCCACTGTCATGTTTACTCTTTGACATCGCTATTGAACCACTTGGGGAAATGCTCCGAAAATCTAACCTCAGAGGATTTGACATACCCAGGAAAATGGAACGTCTGATAGCAACATTCTTTGCTGATGACACCACTGTCTACCTGTCAAAGAACGACGACTTTGGCAGTCTTCAGATAATCCTGGATAAATGGTGCCTAGCATCGGGGGCTAAGTTCAACATAAGTAAAACTGAAATAGTACCCATTGGATCCCCGGAGCACAGAGAAATGCTACGCCAAACCCGATTCCTGAATGGAGAAGATGGAACCCGCATCCCAAACCACATAAAAATCGCCCAGGAAGGAGAAGCGATACGAACACTAGGAGCCTTAATTGGAAATGGAATAAGTCAAATTGAACCGTGGACTAAAGTTATTGAGAAAATCGACCATGCACTGAACAGGTGGGACAGAAGCAAACCAACAATGGAAGGCCGAAGACTAATAATCTCAATGATAGTTGGCGGAATGACACAATATCTCACAAAAGTCCAGGGTATGCCAAAGGAAGTCAAAGATAGACTACTTAAGAGAATCAAAAGATTCCTATGGGATGAGAAACAACACGTACGTATCAACAAAGACACTGTAGAAGCACCGTTAGAAAATGGGGGGAGACAAGTGCTTGACCTCCTCGCACGCAACGAAGCCATAACAGTCACATGGCTACAGACTTACCTCGATATGTCCCCAGACAGAGCAACATGGGCTTATGTAGCAGACGCACTAATTGCCCACCACACACCCAAGACATATGACAACATCGACGAATACTCTAAAATCAATATATTCCTCCAATCATGGAACACTGATATACGAAAGCTCCCCAAAGACCTCCAAGACATGATCAAGGTTGCAAAAAAACACAACCTAAGGTTGGATGGGTTAGCCTTCTCAAGAGACACCATCAGACAAATGCCTCTATGGCTACACTCGGAATGCAAAGAAATTAAGAGCAAACATAATAACCCACTCTCAAAATGCCTGCGAGAAAACCACAAAGTCCGTTTAGTCGGAGATGCAGAAACCTTCGCTAAGCACTCACAAATGGTAAGACACCAGGACCGAAGAAATTGCGCATGTGCATCATGCACTCAAATCCGACGAGAAACAGAATGCAGGCACCCAAATAGATGCTACCGTAAAGCACGGGAATTACTGCTCATGCTACCACAAAAATGGAACCCACTGCACAAAATACCCGCCGACTATGAACCATCAGAGCTTGAGCAACCACTGATTGAAGATGGACAAACCTTTGACTGGAGAATTACCTCCCGAGGCGGAATAACAGATGCGTTCCGAATCTTCACCGAAGGGGAAAAATGCAATACACTCCCGGATACAGAACGTACAGTAACAAACACCCATAGGCCAATCGAAGCTTTCACTGATGGTTCCTGCATGCACAATGGTACCGATGATGCATCCGCAGGTGCAGGAGTCTTCTTCCCAAATGGTGAATACTCAGACTGTACAATCCGCCTACCCAACCACATCAAACAATCAAACCAGACTGCCGAAATTATCGCAATCAAAGAAGCTGTAGAAATAACAGACACTGAGTCAGACCTAATAATCCATAGCGACTCCAAAACGATGCTACAAGGATTAACAACAAACCTTCAAAAATGGGAAGACACCGGGTTCATGGGAAGATCCAACTGCCGCGAAATTCAAGCCACAGTAGCAAGGCTGAGAAGACGGAAAGTAACCACGACTCTACACTGGGTCAAAGGCCATGCCGGACTAGAAGGAAACGAAAAGGCAGACAGCCTTGCTATGGAAGGACGACTGAAAGAAGAGGCAGATGAGATAGACCTCGAAATAGACCCTGACATACGAATATCAGGCGCAAAACTGAAATGCATCTCACAATCACTTGCACAAAAGTTTATACGTCAAAAAAAAATGAAAACAAAAGCATACCAAAATGCACTAAACCGCAGAGCAACCGCCTGTGGAATAGGACGAGCCAAAGCCTGTGCAAAAGAAACCTTTGGCTTCACTCCAACAACCGAAGCGATATGGAAATCCACGAGGCACAAAGATCTCGGGAAAAAAATCCGCGCCTTCCTATGGATGCTTCTGCACTCCGGGTACAAAATCGGCGAATATTGGGAAAAAATACCTGGCTTCGAAAGCAGGGCAACATGCACCCACTGTAACACAAGTGAATCAATGGAACACATTTTAATAGACTGTCAAGCACCCGGCCAGAAAGAAGTATGGGAACTCACCAAAAGACTATGGGAAAAAACTGGAGTAACCTGGAAGGGAATCGAATTTGGGAATATCCTCAGCTGCGGCCTAGCCGATTTCAAGGACGCCAAGGGCAAACGAAAACCCGAAGTGTCGAGACTCTTCAGAATCCTCATTTCAGAATCCTCCTACCTAATATGGAAACTGAGATGCGAAAGAGTAATAGGCGGAAAGAACATCACCAAAGCACAAATAACAAACCAATGGACCTGGACAGTCGAGAGCAGACTCAACCTAGACTGCCTACTTACCTCAAAGAAATTCTCCACTGGGAAGATATCGAAGGAGATGATCAAAAAAACATGGGGCAAGCTGGTCATGAACAAAGACCAATTCTTCGAAACACTCGAAGATACCGGGGTTTTAGTGAGTATACGTATCAACACAGGGATTGGATAATATGAGTATATGCAACATGGTATTTATTTTGGAAGACACTAACCTATACAGCGAAAGACAGAAAATATTGATACGGAGTCTCACACAATGCATCTCGATGGTGCTAGTGCGTAATGCATTTCCTCGGGAGATACAAGCTCGGCCAGACCTTGCATACCAGCGGCCAAAGAGAGGCGACGTTGTCCGTCTGCTTAATGGTACCAAACGCTCCAAAAAAAAAAAAAAAAAAAAAAAAAAAAAAGAGTTGTGCCCTGCGTCGTAACCTTTCCACTTAACCAAATATTCCAACTTCTTCCATCGAACCCGGCTGTCTAAGATCTCCTCTACCTCGTATTCCGGTTCATCTTCATCCTCTAAATATACCGGCTCTGGTGGTGTTGGTATTTCGCCGTTAATGGGGTTACCTTTCCAGGGTCATAGTTTATCAACGTGGAAGATGGGATGAAGTTGATCCAGGGATAGGGGAAGGTCAAGGCGGTAGTCTAAAGGGCCAATTTTCTCTAGAATGCAATAAGGACCAAGCTGCCGATCTCCTAACTTTTCGCTGGAAAGCTGAAGGTTAATGCCCTCTGCACTGAGCCAGACTAGGTCTCCAACTTTAAATTGATGGGCTTTCCGCTTCCCGCGTTCGTATCCCTCCTTCTGTTGTTTCTTTCCTAGGTGTAAGGCAGCCCCGGCATCTTGTCGCGCTTCTCGGAGAATCCGTATACGGTCATCCACAGCTGGAATACCGCTGCGTTGGCCAACTGGGATATTGAACAGGGGAAGATAGCCGTAGGTTAGCTTGAACGGGGACATGCCTAGAGCAGAATGGGTCCGTGAGTTAATCACAAACTCCGCCATGGGAAGGTGCTCTGCCCAGTCGTCTTGTCGTCGTCTCACATAGAGGCGGATGTATTTCTCTACTTTCTGATTTGCTCGTTCGGTTTGGCCATTGGACTGAGGACGGTATCCGGAGGTTAGATCTGATTTGATTCCTAGCCTAGCAAGAAGGGATCACATGAGTTTAGCTGCAAACTGGGGTCCGCGGTCGGATTTAAAGTGAAGAGGAAGACCATGGGGATGGAAGATCTCTCGATAGTAAATATCGGCAATGCCTTCGGCTGTGATGGAGCTGGTGCAAGGAATGGCGTGAATTTGTTTTCCATACAGGTCTGTGCAGACCAAGACAGCATCATAGCCTTGGGAGTTAGGTAGCTGTGTTATCAGGTCAACCCCTACCTCTTCCCATAGACCAGATGGTACATCTAATGGTTGAGTTACGGCCCGTGGGTGTCGTTGGATCTTCTTACGGGCACAAACCTCGCATCCCTCAACGTATTTTTCCACAAAAGAGCGCAGCGTGGGCCACCAAAAATGGGTACTGACCAAGTCGAGTGTCCCGTGTAGTCCAGGGTGTCCTGCAGTTGGATGGTCATGGCATTGACGGAGTACCTCAGTGCGTAGGTCATCGTTTGCTGGTACGTATACTCGACCTCGGTCGTAGACCAACCCATTGTCCTCTTCCCATTCGGCTATCCCATTGGCCAAGCGCTGTAGTCCGTGCTCTTTGACTGTTGTGAGACCCTCCAATACCTGTGCTTCCCGTTCTGAGGCTTTCCGGATACGATCCTCTAAGGGGTTCTGTAGGATTGAAGCTGCAATTTTTACGAAGTGGCCAGGTTTAAGGACTGTCTGTTGCCGGTTATCATCGCTGTCTGATACATGATGAACTGCCATGCGGGAGAGGGCATCAGCTTGGGTGTTTACTCTGCCAGGGCGGTGGATCATATGAAAGTCAAACTGTGACAGATAGAGGGCCCATCGGGCTTGTCGGCGGGTGAGGTCTTGTGCAGTGCGCCAGAATTCGAGGTTCAAATGGTCCGTAATGATGTCGAACGGTTGAGGGAGTCCTTCTAGAAAGTTCCTCCAATCCTTCAGTGCTTCAATGATAGCAAGCATCTCTCGATCGTAGATTTCGTAGTTTCGTTCCGCTGGCTGCATGGATGCTGATCTGAAGGCTACCGGATGCCATTGGCCGTCCTCTTGCTTCTGCATAAGGACGCCTCCCGTGGCAAAGCCTGATGCATCTACCTCGATTCGAGTAAGCCTGTCTGGTGTCCATAGAGCAAGGATTGGTGCGGAGATGAAGGCTTCTCAAAGGGTGTCAAATGCTTTCTGTCGAGTGTCGGTCCAGGTAAAGCTGGTGTCTTTCTTCGTCAGGTCATTCAGAGGTTGTGCTATTTTGGCAAAGTTCCGGATAAAGCGTCGGTAGAAGTTCGCAAATCCCAAGAACCCTCGTAGTTCCCGAAGATTAGTAGGGATTGGCCAGTCACGAACAGCCGCTACTTTTACCGGATCCATTCTCACCTCCCCTTCTGAGATGATGAGTCCAAGGTATTCAATCTGTTGTTGTTCAAATTCGCATTTTTCGGGTCGTAGATAAAGGTCGTGCTTTTCTAACCGAGTTAATACTTCCCGTACCATTCATCGGTGTTCCTCGAGATCGTTACTGAAGATAAGAATGTCATCTAGGTAGACTGCCACCTTGCCGGCTGCAATGAGATCAGCAAATATAGCATTCATAAGTGCTTGGAACGTGGCAGGGGAATTTGTGAGACCAAAGAACATGACCTTAGGCTCGAACAAGCCTCGGGTTGTTGCGAACGCGCCTTTCCATTCATGCCCCTTCTTAATCCGTATGTTATTGTAACCCCAGCGGACATCAAACTTCGTGAAGTATCTGGCTCCCTGAAGTCGGCTAATGATGTCAGCAACTAATGGGAGCGGGTATCGGTTCTTCACAGTGTACTCGTTCAGTTTCCGGTAGTCTTGTACAAAACGGAGTTTCCCATCCTTCTTCTTTACGAAGAAGACCGGTGATGAGATTGGTGATTTTGAGGGGACGATATAGCCTTTCCGTAGGTTTTCTTCTAGGAAACGATCCAACTCCTCCTGCTCGTTTAGGGACATGGGATCAATCTTGGTACGCATGGTTGCCGGTGCTCCAGGTACGAGATCAATCGCATGGTCCCAAGGTTGGTGGGCAGGTAATCGTTCGGAGGCGGATTCTGAGAAAACCTTCTTGAAATCACGGTACTGCTCAGGGACCATTTCTTCGAAGGTTTTAACGGGTTTGTCTCGGTTGGCTTCCTCTGCTAGCTGCTGGGAGTAAGTGAATCCTGCGGCGCACCAGACTTCCTCCGTCTGTTCCTCTAGAATTCCTGCTTTTACCCATGCCCGGCGAGTTTTATGATTGGCTCGAATTCGGTGTATTGGTGGTTCTTCCACCGCTGCTGATTCACTCGGTTCAAGGGTCGCTTCTAGTGGCACCTCAATGTGGGGGTTTTCTGCGGGAGGTTCCAGTTCCGGGAGTTCGAGGATCGGGGTTTCTGTGTGAGTGGCGGCTAGATGAGAGTACAAGATCTCCTCGTCTGGGACTTCTTCTATCGCTACTCGAGGAGGCTTTACTGAAAGTCGTCCTTTCTCCCAATCAATCTCTGGATTTACCTTCCGTAGCCAGTGGAGTCCAAGGATGATGTCTTCACCCCCTAGGTTGGTGATCAGAAAGTCCATCCATCGCTCTTGATTATCCACTGTGAGTGCTCGACATGCAAAATGGGTTATCCGTCCAGCTCGGTTAAGTGTTCCATTGATATTAAAAACATCGATTGGTTTATCAAGGGGTGCACATCTTACATGGTTCCGGGTGGCAAAGTCTTGGTTTAAAAACAGGGCGGTAGCTCCACAGTCTACCATGGCTGCAGTTGTTATACTGTGATTCCTTCCTCTTAGTCTCGCATGAATTCGGAAATGTGGGGAATGTCATAAAGTACGCAGCCCCTATCATTTTCCTTTTCTCACCGTCTCGACGCCTTTACTTGTACGATACATCATCCCATCACTGTCAAACCCCCATCGATTACTGATCCATCGATTACTGATCCACCTGACCCATCTTCTCCTTCTACTGGCTTCCGCCACCTTCCTTGTTCCTAAACTGTACAGTATTACATCGTTGTTTCTCGCAGACCGGATTATGTATATATAGCCAACCCTCCACAGCCTGGTCCCTTATCTTGACCTCTCTGTCATTATCTGGGACCAGGTATGTGCTTACTTATTATTACCTATGACTACGATACTCAATATATCTCTGTCATTATCTGGGACCAGCTTGCCGCCGTTCTGCTTAGTCGCTCCGCCTTGTTGCCTTGTCCAGTTGCTCCGCCTCACTGTTCTGCTTAGTCGCTCCGCTTTCCCGCACCGTTAGTCACTCCGCCTCTGCCGCTTCGTGACAGGGAAGTGGAGTTTAATTCCCGGATCGACGATATTGTACATGATGGGTGCGAGTCATATGAAGAAGTAGCAAACATAACAAACTGATTACGGGGTACTCTCGGTGCAGCCGAAGCAGGTACCCTCTTTAAAAATCCTGTTGAAAGCAGAGGACAAGGAGGACATAGCATTAGCACGATCAAGTAATTCCCTTATTTGACCAATCTGGTTGGAAAAGTCCTGGTTAGGGGGGCTCGGAGTAGCAGCTATGGGTGCAGGAGCAGATGTTGGGGTTGAGGAAGTGATCTGGACGAATTCATTTGGGAACAGGGAGAATGGTGCGCGTCCCGTAGTGGATATCTGTTGGCGTCGAGGTTGCTGGCGTCGGCCTCAGTCTCGTCCGAGTCCCATGAACTTGTCTTGGCAGACTGCTTCCAGATGTCCTCAGTGTCCACAGTAACGGCAGGTGGTTTCTCGGTGTGGGCAGTTTTGCTTGATATAACCTTGGGCACCGCAGCCGAACCATCGTCCTCGCATGCGGGCTAGGAATGCCTCCCTAGTATTCCCATTACTAGTGTGGGTTGCATCAATGTCCATAGCGTGGGGGTCAGCAGGGGTAGTGTGAGCGGTATGTGTGGGAGGGTATCCAGAGTTCCGGCCAGTCATGGTGGGATCGTGCAGGTAGACATCCACCGATATGGCCCGTTTGATTGCCTCCTTTAGAGTTGGAGCAATTCCTTGGGCAATGTTTACGGTGATGAGGTGTTGTCGGATCTCTGGGAGTAATGCAGTGAAGAAACGTTCCCGCAAGTCAATATCAGACATTTCAGTCCGATCTCCGATATCCTTGAACTTCTGAGCAAATTCTGCAACTGTCTGTCCTTTACTTTGCCTGAGATTCTTGATCTCGCTACGGGCTTCCATACCCGGGTCCATTGGTTCAAACCGTTGGCTATATTCCTTCAAGAACGTATCCCAATTTCCTCCAAAAGGGGGATTTTCCGCACTGAAATGTAGCAGATGGGGAGTTGCCCAATCTCCGGCACTTTCTGTGAAGAAGCCCAAGGCGGACTTGATGAGTTTCACTTGGCTTTTGGCGAGATCAGGTTGTTCTGATGCCCAGTTTTGGAACTGAGCCATGAAGCGACGAGCTTCAGTGCCATCTTTACCCTTGAAAACCTTGGGTTTGTTCATGCTTGACTTGGAGGATGAGCGTTCCTCCATAGCTGTAGCAAGGTTAGCTACTTGTCTGATGAGCTAAGCCATGAGATCCTCAGCAGAGGTATTTGGGGCAGGCGGGACAGGAGTCGACATGATGGGAGTAGGCAATTGGGGTTGGGGAATTGGCAGGAAGGTTATATTGCTCACAGTGAGTGGCTCTTGGATTGAGTTGGGAAGGGCGTTGGGGCAAGGTTGAGACTGGCAATCGCGCCAAGTATTGTTGTTGTTGTGGGCGTGAGCTTGGTCTCTAGGGTCAAGTGCGTGCGGGAGTGCGGAGCAGTCTATACTGGCAGCAGGTGTTTCCGAATCGGGCGGGACTGGCGAAGACGTGGTGTCTATGGATCCTGCAAGGACAACCTTATCGGTAGGCTGTCAGTGCAGTAATGGATCTTGACCTAATGTCACGAAGCGGTGGAGGCGGAGTGACTAGCGGAGCAGGAGAGCGGAGTGACTAAGCAAGACGGTGGGGCGGAGCGACTAAGCAGGTCAGCGAGGCGGAGTGACTAAGCGGAGTGCAGGCAAACTGGTCCCAGATAATGACAGAGATATATTGAGTATCGTAGTCATAGGTAGTAGTAAGTAAGCACATACCTGGTCCCAGATAATGACAGAGAGGTCAAGATAAGGGACCAGGCTGTGGAGGGTTGGCTATATATACATAATCCGGTCTGCGAGAAACAACAATGTAATACTGTATAGTTCAGGGGCAAGGAAGGTGGCGGAAGCCAGTAGAAAGAGAAGATGGGTCAGGTGGATCAGTAATCGATGGGGGTTTGACAGTGATGGGATGATGTATCGTACAAGTAAAGGCGTCGAGACGGTGAGAAAAGGAAAATGATAGGGGCTGCGTACTTTATGACACACGCTACAACATAAACTCCTCATACCAAAACCTACCCTAAGACCTATTCTGACCCAGGTCTTACAGTAGATAGGCTGCAGAAACTCACCAATGCACACAGAGAGCTCAGCACTCAGCCCAGTACTCTCTATCAATATCCCTTCCAATACTTCTCCTCTCATATCGTTCCACCATCCATTCCCTCCTTCGCATAATAATCCTTAAATACTTTCTCATACCTCTCATTGTAGATTTTTCTGTATGTTTCCAGCACCGATCCATCGACAATATTCCCGCGGTCCCTCAACTTCTGCAGCACAGTCCAAATATAATCCCTACAGGTGCCTCTATGACCCATAGGGGGCAACTTCACCTCGATCATCTCTCCAACAGCATCCCGCACATCCTGCTCATCTCGGAACCTTGCTTTGCCAATGGGTTGGGTGGGGAAAAACCTCTTTGATGGCTTCCGGCGGAAAACATATTGTTCAGGTTTAAGAGTGACCTCCCGGCGCGGGACCGAGGTATCTGATGTTGTAGCATGAAGGATTGTATCTCCTATCTTGATCATAGAGTGTTCATCTAGGGTATCCATGTTGCAAAAGATAATGTTGAGCTCTAGGTCTAGGACTGTCGGGGGATGGTGTTCAGATACCGGAACAGTGTCTTTGCTATCACCAGTAGGCATAGGCAAAGCAAGAACTGCCAGCATGCACACCCAAAAGCAGAGCAGCACGAAAAGGGGTGAGGCGACGATTCGAGGCAACATCTAAATTCGAAATCGTTTGATGAAGGCTGTTACGGCAGTCAAGTTGATTGGAATCGAAGATGTATACAGGATTAGCATATGATATATATAGCGGGGAGAAAAAGTTTTGAAAGACGTACCAAAAATTGTTTGGAATATAATCCGTCACGGGCCCAGGTCAAATCCTTCAACAAAGGCTTTATAAAACAATCGACCACTTAAGAAATAGAATGAAGCATATAACCGAAAGTTGGGATTTGTCTATTTTGCAGAGGGATTAGTCCATAAGCATAAGCTCCAGAACTGCCTGTTAAAAATATACATACTGAGAATGGTCAAAGAAAATTGAAACCAGTAGGAGTTGGCCAGCAATCCTATAGGTTATGACAGATAAAACTTGCTTTGGTAGGTAGGTAACCACCCAGCTTAATCAGATGATAAATAGCAATACGTACCGAACCAGCGCGAGTGGGTGTGGTAGGTGGTAGTACGAAAGGAAACAAAAGGGGGTAACAATGCATTGAACGAAAAAGAGCTGATGCTTTTGTAGCGGCATTATTAGCGCTACATGTACATAGATCCAACAGGTGATGAAGCGAGAATCAAAAGTGCCAGCGCACAACAAGGAAGAGGAACAAAATAATTCTGTGTATACATAATGAATATTCGGCTCGAAAGTTTTACGAGTGTAGAGCTGTGTAGAGTACATGAGGCTAAGATACTCTCGGTACACTCCAGCGAGCGGTATTTTTGATACAGACCGAATTCCAGCAAACGTCAGTTGTCGAGCCAATGTATGAGTGGTTGGATCAATATCAGCGGTGGGTTTGAGCCTTTTTAGTTGAAGAAACCATGGAGAAATAAATGAGTTCCCAAAAGGAGAGATGGACCCACAGAAGAGCTCATATTTGCTTATACTCAATAGATTTGAGGAGATAGAGGAACAGTGTTTGGGTAAGAGGGTGCAGGAATAGTTTCTGACAATCCGTTTGGTTTCCTGTGAAGCCAAAACACCACGCTCTTCCAGACTCTTGAGATGCTAAATATTGAAACCTAATCAGCTTCAACCATACATCACTATTAAGCCCTAACGATGCCTGATGCCGTGAGTCGTCCTCCTCCCATCTGGTAAGCCGGAGAGACGAGGAACCTTTACAATGGTCAGTGGTTAGAGATGAACAATGAAAAACAATTGAGGAACTTAGAAGAAGACGTACTATGTCTGAACCATGGTAGGCGTTGTGTCCACCATATCCAGATGTCTTCGTGGTCGCCCTCTGTTCGACCCCAAGCGCCATAGCTGTCGGAAGGACGAAGGTCTGTTAAATCGTCGGGTGTGGGTAGGTTTCGAGGTGGGGGTTGTTGTCAGGTGTCGGTGTGGAATGTTGAACTCTCAGTCTTTGTCAGAGACCACCGCCATCCTCATCGTCAACACTGCTTGCATCGATCCTCCCTTGCTCAGCGCTCCGAAATGTTGCAGGGGGCTACGCAAATAAAAGACTTGGTGGTGGTATGAGCGGTGTGAGCGTCTTCCTTGTCTGATGCTGAGGAAAAGACCGTTACAGAACGAGGTTGTGGGCGATTGGTGTTGTTCCTCGATGTGGTTTAATGTCAGAAGCAAGATCGGTTGTCGCCACCGCCACCTCCGACATTGATGGATTCCTTGGCCTTGCAAAAACACTATCTGGTTAACTCCAGATGTCGCGGTGGACACCGGACGTACAGAGGTGGGGAGTGCCTGGTGGAGTGTTGAAGGGGAATGGTGCTGATCAAGGTCTTAGATATTCGTTCGGCGCTTATCTCGTTGAATTCAACTTTAATTTCCCGCAGATTTCCCGTCAACGTTCCAGTCGTACGCTTGCCTCCTCCTTATATCTTTGGGGTGGGAAAAAACAGATGATGATACAGATATTGGCTCTGACGCTGCCGGATGTTCTGAGAATAACTTTTTTGCAACAAGAACGTCCTAAAGTTCGAAGCAGGAGGAGCGCTGCCTAGTTTAGTAGCGGTGGAATCTGGAGCACGAAAAGTTGGGTGGCTCTCTCTACTTATTCATTATGCTGACGAACTTGAAGCCCAGGTAATGATTACTGAGTATGAATATTAAGACTTCGATCTCAAACAGGATATCGGATACAAAAAAGGTCGATGTGGCGAGGAAGGATAATGTCGCCGTCCAAGTGCGGCTTTTTGGTTTCTTTCGTCGGGTCGATTGTATAGGCTTATCAACGTCTTCTTTTGCTCGCATTGCTGCAAGATAAATCTAACACCAACGTGGCTTCAAATTCCGACTTGATCTCCAACCATTCACAGGTGTGGTTCTCTCATTCGGTCGCATCCGACCGAAACTCTCTCTCCAGCATGATGCCCCTCCTGGAAACCTACCATCTAGCCTTCAAACCGTGACCAACCTCGGAACTCCTTTCCTTCAACAAAGTCGCTCCGCCAGCTTCCCTCCTCAAACCGTCCTCAACCATGCCTTGCCCATAGCGACACGGAATACTTTGAGAATACAACAGATGGGGGATGTAATTGTGTTCAATCAAGTCATGTTACTGATCTTCTTTTTCATTTACTGATTTCAATATATCGCGATTAGGTAGGATACGATAGGATAGGATATGAATTTAACAAAAATTCGCCCTGACGTTTCCTGAAGATCCTGGAGAAGAGACGACGGTACATTAGGTAGCTGCTCACACAATATTTAGGATAACTTCTTTGTCAATCTACGTGGAAAATCTGCGTGGACAAACGACCGTTGTCCATCAGTTCCAATAGCAAAAAGAATAATTAATTAGTGCTACACCGTAGCACTGTTCTCCTCGGCGTGTGATACACTGTGATACATAGCAAAAGGTAAGCGCAATCACTCCGGACTCACCCTAGACTTCTTGTTGCGCTTATCAGTCTTAAAGTTATATATGTACACCACTATCCCCCCTTTCATACTACCCCCGTGCTGGTTCTTAGGCATCTCCCTATGTTTCCCTTCCATTGATTGGGCTGATCTGGTGTTGTGAAAGCTCTCATCATCTTCTTCTATCTGGCCACCAAGATTTGCTGGCCAACTCCTATAAGTTTTTTTCTTCAACTCCGATTCTTGGTACGTTTTCCCACTCCATCGTTGAACTCATCTACATATCTTACATAACTAATTATCTTACATTACTATTTTCCCTCGTCTTCAATTCCTCTCGATGTGACACATTTTTCTTTTCTCAATTGCGTCCCACAGATCCCCGGCTGGGCTCATCGAATGATTTGAATACCAATGTTGCCCACCCGAATCACCACCTCGTCTTTTGTTTACTTAATCACCAATTCCTCCGGGTAATCGTTAAATTCAGACTCTGATCTTGTGGTCGAGTCAAGCCTGAGGAAGAAACTCATTTTCAGTAGTGAGTGGTCAATTTCCGTGAATGAACAATGGTAAAGTTACGGTATCAGTCGTGTGCCGTATTGCATACAATCAATATGGTGGTTGGTGAGAAGGTGGAACGTGAATATTGACCAGCAATTCCCCACTGCTACTACACCACCACTACATACACCACCAGGAACTATGTGGGAACTTCATTGTCGTTGTTGGATCGATGTATTAGAAGGACGTACTTGGACCGAGATGACTAAGTACGTGCTTCTGGTCACGAACGTTGGAACGTTGTAGAGAAAGAGGTGGACGGAGCGAATAGGAGATTTCAGGATTGCTATCAACGTTTTGGTCGCTGTCAGCCTACCCTGCGGAAAAACTTAGCCTAACCGTCGGCTTCAAGTTTCACCTCATACGCTTATTCCATTGAACTTCGCCTTTGAGCCCTTTTGAGCCTTGTCGCATAATGGCGCACCTCCGATCCTCAACAAACACAGGCCGGAGGGAAGGAAGGGCATAGCAGCTCCAGGGGAGGGTTGAGGCGGTATATCAAACACATCTTCTCTTTTTCGTGTGTATCTTCGATCCCGGTCGAGATTGATTAGAATCTCGAGACTATACAGAGTTTGCGAAGCGGACTCGCGGCGCGCACAGCCTAAAAGAGGAAGACGTGTTGAATAAATACCAGGAGGATATCATGGGTACACTCAAGTACCTCTCGAACTTGACACCCGAACTGGACCTAATCTTGGTCAGGCCCCTGCTAGTACGGTATGTATATCACTCCATTGCATGAATATAACTCGCTGATTCGATGTGTAATGTCGCGACAGCTTTTTCTTCTCTTATTCTTGGTGGAATCGCTGGTCGATTACCACAAATCAACAAATCGGTCCTGAATATTGAAAATCCTGGCCCGTTACAGTAAGCATGTATTCATGTTTTAATTTAGTACATAAACTCACCTATGCACAAGCGCTCAGCCTAGTACCCTCAATCACGTAGTCTTCAATCCAAAACTTTTCCCCCCAACTTCTTCGTGCTATTTCGACCTCTCAATCTTCTCCATTTTCGATCTCTTGATATGCTTCTTTCCCGGATCTCCACCTCGAGCCTCTTCACTCTGCTCTATCTCTGGACAATTTTCCTAACAGTCCTTCCATTACCATTGCCTACAGGTGATAATAACGCTGGCAACATTGACAACGCCGCTCCGGTATTCTTTGGACCTCCCCAACCACCAATACACATCCAAATCGCTATTGCCAACAAAGATACCCCCAAAGAACACGCATTCATCGCCGTCGGCGACACACTCCTTCACGCCGTATATCCGACCAACACCGACCACACCCAAATAATTCCAGAAAAAGAAGACATGTCAACAAAAGCCGCAATGGAAGCGTATCGTCTCGGAATGGAAACCATCGGCGAAGCGAAATTCGGTAGTAAATTTGAAGAAGGGAAGGTGATTGAGGAATTGCTGAAGATTAAGTTGCCGCCGATTGCAGAGAATGGGAATTGTTGGGATTTTATTATGATTGTGTTGAAGAAGATGAAGAAGGATGGCAGGATTGTAGGGGACGCTGATTCGGTGTTGGAAAAGTACAAGGATATATATGAGGAGAGAAAACAGGCGCGGATGAAGAGGGTTTCAGTTTCGCAATAGTCTAGAGGAAATTTTGGAAGTGATTCTTTTTGTACTACGGAGAAGTACACAGAAAATTAATTGATCCAGCAGGCTAATGTATGTACTCACTACCAACCTTTGTCTTTCTCGACGTTTTTTCAGGACACCCTCTACACTTGCGAAATTTGCGCGGTGCAACCGCCGTCGGCCAGTTCAACAGAAGGAAGGATACGGGCGCTTAGTTATATCTGAAAGCGTCGTAAGAAGCCTCGTCCTCTCAATTTCCAGCGAACCTTCAATGACCATGCATCATGATCTAACTCAGTTACATTACGCCGACTAGAAAGATGATTCTACTTATTGTTTTACTGTCAGTCCCAGGTAAGTGACTGAACGATAACTTGCGGGTTTTACAAAGGTGATTTTCCGTTGTTTTCTGTTTTTCCTGGTCTAAGTACATCAAGCGGTGCAGCCCAACACCAACCATCATTCAAATTTTTCATCGCTCATCGGATAGCATCGGATCCCACATCAAGTCATGCAGGGTTCCAAGTAGTTAGCTACCGCTAGCGAAAACCCTCAAAAAGCATCAGCTTTTCTTCGATTCACTATACAGATACCTTTCGTACCCCCACTCCCTCGCGCTGGTTCGGTACGTATCCTTCATGTTCTATGTTCTTTCTTCATCAACTGGCTTACCTATTGTTACAAAAGCTTTCTTCTTCTTCTATCAGACCACTAGGATTTGCTGGCCAACTCCTACGGATTTCCTATCTTTGACAGTTCTTGGTATGTCTTTGAATTTCGAAACCCTTTCTGTGTTGTACTCGTATACTAATTCTGCATACACTAGACACACCCTTTTATTTCTATCTTTCGATTCCATCGACTTTACCACCGTGACGATTCATTTTGACTTGTCTCCCAGACCTTGCCGGACCCTTTGTTAAACGTTTCTCGCCTCGATGTTGCCCCGAATCACTACCCAATCCTTCTTCGCTTCACTCTGCCTTTGGGTGGTTGCCTGTGGTTGCACTGGCAGTTTTTGCATCACCTCTGCCAGCTCGTGGCAGTGCAGGAACTGCCCCTGCCCCGATACGCGCTGAGCATATCCTGTCATCAATAGTCCAAGCAGATCTTCGAGTCATCTTAATATATCAGGATGATCCGAAAGAGCATGCATTCTTGGCCATCGATAATACAGCCGTTCATGCTTGCGTCTCCAAAATCCAGCTCATGACAAGTGACACCATTCTTATTCCTGAGAAAACCTCCACGCTCCGAGTCCAGAACACCACGAAAGGTACCCTCAAAACAATGCCAATTGGTAAGGCATCATTCGTGAGTAGGGAACATAAAGAGAATGTCATCAATGAGATGATTAACGTGAAGATGCCCCCTTTTAATCAGAAAGGAACCTGTGTGGATTATATCAGGATAGTGCTGCAGAAATTCAAGGACCGTGGAATTATCGTCGACTCGGTTCTGGAAAGCTACGAAACAATCTACAAAGAGAGGTACCAAGCAGGATACGAGCGGCTTGGGGTAGCACCTGGTGAGCGAACAAGGAGATAAAACCCACCCATGTAATTTATGCGCTGTAGTGTAACTATTCCATTCCAAAACATAAGATCAATGTATTACACATTAATGTGGGTCAAGAAGGCGCGGCGAAGATGCAGATAGATACTAATACATTGGTCGCTGCAATGTAATCCAAGTAGTCCTCATATCTGCGCTTTATCCTTTCCAAAGGCTTTTGCGCTTACAAAAACGGTCTCCTAACAAACGTTATCTCTCGTTGTCTAATTACGAACAACCTCGGTCCTGTCCGCCACTATACCACGTATGAGCACCACACTTGCTCATGCGTAGGACTTTTGGCCTTTCTGCCAGGATCGATGAGGAGAAGATTAGGCTTTGGACCAGTTCGGACCGCAGTCCGTGATTCCTCCAAGATTCCATCCCTCCTCGAATGGTCGATATCGATGATCATGCGTAGATCCCTCAATCACCACACCATGTTTACTTGTCCATTTTCTCTCCTTTCAGCAAGTATGATTCGACAGTTTCACACTACGTTTGCACACTGGGGTCTGGACTCTGAAACATTATTTATTCTCCTACTGAGTATCGCGGTAACTATCACAAGTACTATGTTGCTTCCGGGTCATGCAGCGGTTGACGGTTGCTGTTGAACTTTGGCCAAGTCATTGTTCAAAGCTACATCTTGGTGATTCTGTGGATGTTTATATCGATCACAACTTTCCCTAATCTATGAAAATTGGATGCTACTTGCGTTTGATTACCTGCCACTATAGAGCTTTTCAGTGAGGAATGTTAATGACCAATTGGTATTGTGACAGAATATTACTTCGACTTATGTGCAATAACGTTTTCCACTACAGTGTGATATCTGGCGTCATACTCTTCCATAAATTTAGTCATCACCCCGTTATTAGAGTAGCCGTTCTCTACGAAAAACTGCAGAACCGACCAGACGAAATCCATACAATTGCCTCCTTTTTGACCTACGGGAACGGGCATTTGCCACTTGAGGATGTCCGCGATAACTTCATCCTTTTTTTCTTCATCTTCGAACTTTGCTTTGCCGAGCTTAATCTTTCTGGGAGGTGGTGAGAACTGCGCTTTCTCATTTCCTCTCGAGATGCGCAAATGATCCTGATGTATATTGACGTGCTGCCACTCTTCCCATGGCAAAGAGGCTTGGAGATATGCGTCCCCGACTTGCACAGCCCAATGTTCGTACTCTGGGTAAGCTTCGTACAGGATAAAGAGGGTAATGTCCACTTTAACTGAACGTTTGGCAACTAGGGAAGCGAAAAGGATTAATTTGAACAAACGTTAAAATGGGGAAAACTTACTTTTTGAAGCCAATCTGGCGATCGCTGGATCGGAGCGTCCATAGTACTGGGAAACTCCAACACTACTGCCAGAGGGCAAGGGCGACGAAAATACAGCGAGAAAAGCGGTCCAAAGAGAAAGCAGGGAGAGCAACTGGGAGGTTCCGGTTCGGTAAAACATTTTGACACGTGTCAGACGAGTTCAGGAGACGGCGTCGAGGAAGTGGATGAAAGTTGACAAAAACGAAAATATCTATGAGTGGAATTTTTCATAAAGCGTGAGTTGAGACTTGATATGCCAGGATACGCAGAAGACGTACGAGTCGTGGAGATGAAGCAAGAAGGTAGTGATTGACCAGCAAAAACACTACCAAAATCAGGAGAAAGCTATTGTAACATGTCAGCAAAGGGAGAAAAGAGGGGTGCTATGGGAATACACTCACCGAACCAGCGCTTGGTGTGTAACTTGAAGAGTGAAGGGGAAACGAGGTCGACTGGATTTGTTTATCGGGATTGACTGGTGGTTTTTAAGGCTAATTTTTGCCACATTCTACGATAGCCTAGAATAGTTTGGTGAGGTTTGGCGGTCTCCAACGGATAGATCCTCAAGTTGACAGGAGACGAGAACCAGGGAAGACATCTGGATTGTGCTTTTCCGATTCAATATCTGTCGCTTGCAGTTTCAATTTTTATGCGTATCAGGCAGGTACGCATTCATATATGCGCGTAGCTTACTGTGCTTATGGGGAGCATTACTCGCTTTGCCCCTAAGATTGAGATGTACGGCCCGTGTTCAACCAGCTTCAGGCCACCTGGCCGGGTGGAGTTTCGCACCTTGAAGGAGGCTGTTCTAGGTTGTCGTGGGACGGGGTTGGAGCTGGGTTGGAGTCGATGTCACCCTTGAATCAAAGGGCTGCATCCGGATCCCTTTTGACCTATAAGGCATAAATGTGACCTTGCTCCGCCGTCGGAACGGACAGAGACAACTTTAAAAGGATATTTTTCCACGGTCGAGGTTATGGTCCCTTATGGATGTTCAATATCAATGACCATTGCAAGCAAGGTGTTCTTTTCATCAACGCTGTAAGCCTGATTGTCGGTTGATGCTGTTCAAACTTTTCAGTAAAAGCGCTAAAATTCTCACCTCTAATAGTATCCAGGTACCCTCCTTCTTGCTTGTGCACGGCACGTAGATTTGGCTGGGAACATGCATCAGAATGCATGGCTGTAAGACGACTGATTATATTTTCAGGATTCAGTCTTATTCGAAATTTAAGAATCTCGCTGCATAAGGGCCTGATAAGAGCCGAACAACAAGATCAGTGCTCATATCTGAGTTGGTACGGTATAGCTATATTTACAGGGACTACTTACCTATTGGCCGGATTCCACCTGATTCCACCTCTACTTTGAATTTGAATACGCGGTCAGACTGTGACCAGACTGTGACAGCTCTCACTAGTCATCACCAATAACGTTTCACCACGACATCGTTCAACACCATCTTCACAGGATCCATACATTTTCCTCCCACCTCCGCTACAGGCAAGGCCATACTCTTCCCAACAAGTAGGACTCTTTTCTTTAAGCTTTACTTTTACGAGTTTTATCATCATTCTATGACTCAGTAGCAAAAATTTCGTTCTCGCATTTCCTTACGCACAAACGGTCCTAAGATATGTTAAACACGGAGCCTTCGAATTGAGCACGGCCCAATGTTTGTGTCGTCGGTACGCTTTGTTCAAAATGTAGAGGTTCATGTCTTCTCTGACCGGAGGTTTTGTAACTGTAGGTTACTGTATAGATATATGTATACAGTGAATGGCAAGGCACCTAGTGAATAATTGGCGACAGAAAAGCTTACACCTGAAGCGCGTCTGGGGACAGTAGCATCAAAGCTTTCATAGCACTGGGGAATTCCGATGCTACCACCAGAGGACAACGGTGAAGAAAGGACAGAAAATCATCCAGAGGGCCAGTGAAGAGGGCAACTGCAAATGCCTGTTTGGGACAACCTTCGGTGGAGTCATTCGAGGCAGATTCAAAAAACGGTAGTTAGACTTGTCGAAGAAATCGATGATTTGGGATCTAAGAATACCTAGTTCCATTCAGATTCGCAGTGGGCACAAGTCTTGGTACGCAAACTCGGACAGAAGGTAGCGATTAACCCGCAAAAAGACAAAGCGTCGTATGGGAACGGACCGAATCGACGCCCGTTGATGTTTCTGGGAGTGGACATATCGCTGTAACAGCATGTCCCAACTCCTTGTCGAACCATTGAACCTGGCGTCTTGGGAACTCTGAGACATTGTTTACCGTAAAGTCAACAAGTAAAACCGAAAATATTCCTGGCTCTGGGGATTCGAAAAGGAGGGCTCCGTGGATTTTCTGGGATTTGAAGTTTCGTGAGGTACTCTGCTGTCGTTAAGCCTCCGTGACCTATGAATCTATCCTTGAAGCACCGTATTTTGAACTGACAACTGATAACTTACCATCGAATAACTGTCGAATATCTTCCAATCTTCTGATATCGCAAGACGGTCCTCGTTTGGCGTTCCGCGGAATTGGGTATGATCAATACCGGTCTCATCCGCAAAAGTATATTCTTCGATGAAGGAACACTCCACATGTTCCAGATTGGTGTCTGTATCGTCTGTAGAGGAGGCGGTGGACATCAATAAGGAGGAATCAAAGATGGAAAAACTTTGAAGGAGTAAGAGAGAAAGGCCCGTTTCTACACAGTGGAAGCTCCGAGAATCAGTACTCTCTTTGTGGCGAGGAATTACCGATGCTCGTAGAGGTTTTCGAGTCGATTTCTGATTGCAACGATCACTGAGGGCGACAAAAGCATTGAAGACATAAGACAATATTTGTAGCAACGTTGAACTGCATAGTTACAAGCAGGTTACAAGCCTCGCGGATAGTAATGCGTGGAGGTTGGAAACATTCAATTTTATTTCGGCGACTTAGCGGTAAGCGCTGGGAAGCTCTATGTTTGAACGCCTGTAACTCTATTTATTTTGAGCTGTGATAATGAATTTATTCCGTTCCCTAACTTCCCTTGTCGTCATGGTGCCAAGCATTCGATTTTCCACTTTGGCGTTTCTGCGGTGGATCCTTCTTCGAGGCGATAACAAACTCGATCGTGTAGTCGAGATGGTTTTCCACACCAGAACTCTACTTCGCTGTGACGGAAAGAAAGTTTTGAGTTCACCATGACTTAATATGCGAAATGGTATGGACTGACGTAGGAATTATCCTCCACCCACCCCAAAATTCTGGCATCGGAATATTCGATCCTTCCTCTCCGGATGCAGCATCAGGTGCAAATCGTTTCTCAAGCTTCTTCAACCTCTCCATGACCTCTCCCTCTTTAACAACCTGACTCTGCCGACTAGCCCAAGCACCTAATTGACTGCCTTTGGGTCTAGTCCGAAAATATCTCTCGCTCTCCTCTCGACTGACTTTCTCTACCTTCCCGATGACCCTCACGGATTTATGAACCTCGCGCCAGTAAAACACCATCGCCGCATTCGGATTCGATTCCAACTCCTGTGACTTCCGCGACGTGTAGTTGGTGTAAAATATGAATCCACGTTCATCTAGTTGCTTGAATAACACCATCCGGGCTGATGGAATTCCGGATGTCGTGGCGGTAGACAGAGATATGGCCTCGGGCTCATGGACTATACCGTCCTCAACTACCTGCTTGAACCAGATATGGAACTGATCTAAAGGAGATGAAGAGACCGTCGATGGAGTGAGTGAGTCAGAAGTTTGGTATTGATTGTGGGGAAGGACTTGGATTTTAGAGGGTGTAGGTTCGGAAATTATTACGTCCATTGAGAATGCGCGATGCAGGAAAAAATTCGAGGAATATGGACGTATTAAAGGTTGTCTGAAAAGGCCGAGAAAGATCGAGAGCATCAGGAATAAGCGCCCACAGCGCCACACGAGTGCACGTGCAAGGTCACCCGGTCCTCACTCGACGATCTCGGTCATGACTGAAGCGTATTTTCAGGAAACTTGACAATGCAAGCAGTGTCCATGAGTGCACCATGCTTACTGCCTGAACTGTCCACCCAGCTAAGTATTCCCGGGCCCTTCGCGAAACCGCGCTCAAACGCGCTGCGCAGTCCTTGTTCTACTAAGTATTCATCGCTGGCGGCTGGCGGCTCTGGGTGAGTTCGACCTTTTCTTTCTCGGCCATACACGGGTCTTCATCTTTCTACGCTGGTTATCGCTTATCTGACACATTCTCACAAGAAACTCTTGACTGTCCGTTCAATCGGTCTCTACGAACTCTTTTCATCTCATGATACCGGGTCCGTGTCTCAACATCTACAAACCCCGGGGGGCCCAGGTCAGCAGATATGACGATTGTAGACCAAGTAATTCATCCACTTCTTTAAAAAATGTTTCTATTTCTGATTTTGTCGAATTAGACGTAATTTCTTCGCCCCCTGCTCTGCGTACTAGTAGTAGTATCTCTGGGATCTACACTATCTGGCAAGATGACTGGAAAGGAGGGAGATCTCCACGTCGCGATCATAGGTGCTGGTATGGGTGGACTGGCATGCGCACTGGCCTTGGCTAAACATGGAATAACTCGTATCGATGTGTACGAGACAGCATCTAACCTTGGGTTCGTAGGCGCAGGCATCCAACTCGCCCCAAACATGGCGAGAATACTGGAACGTTTAGGCTGTTGGGAGGTCATAGCAAAGGAGGCTACAGATATCAAGGATGCTAGTATTCGCCGTACGTTTACATAGGTATTCTGAACGCAATAATATTCATCCTGATTTTAACCTTGCAGGGCACAACGATAACACCGAGCTCGCTCATGTCGATTTCTCTTATATTCGGAAAGAGTACGGGGTACCTCACATGGTCGGACACAGATCTTCGTTGGCAAACGCAATGTTTGACGCTTGCAAGAAAGAGACAGCCATCACGTTCCACTTCAAATTGTCCTGTGGTGGAGTCAAATCATGGCTACCCAAGCCAATCTTTACCGTCGTTCCTCGAGAGGGCGAATCATACGACGTTTCTGTCGATGTCGTTCTTGCTGCTGATGGTATTAAATCCGTCGTCCGACCACAGATCCTCAGGGAACTGAATATCGACGCGGAAGTCATCGACTCAGGTCAATCCGCATACCGTATCATGCTCACGCGTGAGCAGATGGCTTCGGACCCAGAGATGCTCCAGCTTCTGGACTCTGACCAAGTAACCCGTTGGATCGGAGAGCGTCGACACATTATCGCTTACCCCATCAGCAACAAAAGTATCTACAATATCTCCACTGCCCAGCCTGATGTTCACTTTGCCGCAGCACCTTCCGCGACATACACCACCCGTGGGTCGAAAGCTGATATGCTGGATAACTTCAAGGATTTCTGTCCGCTCGTGCTGCGCATGTTGAACCTTGTCCCGGAAGGCGAAATCTGTGAGTGGAAGCTCCGCATTCATAACCCGCTGCCGACATGGGTACGCGGGTGCGTTGCGCTTGTTGGGGACGCCTGCCATCCTACATTACCCCATTTGAGTAAGTTCGCACGAAGATTAGAAATCCTTAAGAGCTTTTGACTAACACGGGCTTTTGCTTATAGACCAGGGCGCCGCTCAAGCCATCGAAGATGCAGGTGTCCTTGCCGTCGTATTGTCCAAGTTACCGGATCGTAGTCCAGATTCAATTAATAAAGCGTTGAAGGTTTATAAACATGTGCGGAAGAAGCGTGCAGAGACGTTAGTGGAGCTCGCAGCGGCATCGGGAAGAACATTACATCTAGGTGAAGGAGCCGCACGGGAGGATAGAGATAAACAGTTTGCAGCCCTGAAAGACAAAGGTGGACCCAGTCCGGATAAAGCGGTGGATGCAGAGGTACAGAAGATGATTTTGGGCACGGACGTAATGCAACTTGCCAGGAAAAACTTCGAGAACATATTTGAGAATCTCTAGGTGACCTAACGAATTCTCTCTATCAGGACCATGTACACCTTTTTGTCGGAGGAGATTTCAAGATTCCGGGAGACAATCTTGTTAAAGAGTTGGCATGATCGAGGAAGTGGTGGTACGCATTAAAACAAGATCAAGCCACTAAGGAGAACACCATTACATTACGATACATCTTTGCATGTTGTGTACCTTGTTAGCTACTTTCCAATCCATTATCCAGTACCTGGCCTCGTGTATCTTTTGGTTTTTTTCACCAATGCGGCATCAATACAACGATACGAATACAGATGTTGTATCACAAGCGACGTGAAATCCATACAAGTTCCGCCCTCCTCATTACGACGAACCTTTAGCTCCAAAGAGGTAATTTTATCGATGACTCGCTCTTTATGGGTTTTGTCGTTAGACACGCTTTTCCGAGGGGAGTCTGTTCAAGTTCGGAAAAGGTCTTGGAAATGGGAAAAAGTTTTGAGAGTCCCGTCTCTTGTACGGCGTCGAGTAACGTATACCCAACAACTACACCCCAATGTTCATCGCGTATCTGGAATATACTGTCTAGGACTGAGGCAAAGTCACTTCCACCTTCCACACTGTCTTCGTTACATCGACATAGTACTTGTTGTATCTGTCCGTGAATTTACTCGGAACGGCGGAAATGAAATTCCCCTCCGCCAATAGCTCCAAAGCAGCTTTCACATAGTCCAGACAGTTCCCTCCTGAGTCAATTGGCGCGCTCGTCCACGGGATATTTACCAGATCCTTGAACACATCCTCCATCTTGGAGTCACTGTTGAAAGTCGCTTCGCAATCGAGGTCAATGTATTGCCAGTCCGGATCATTGACACTGGAGTAGTCCTTACTGTACAAGGAAGGCTTCAGTGGATGTTTGGGATTTCGGGAAACTTTTTTGGTATGGAAGTTGTTGGATTTATCGATGTTGAGGACCCAGTGTTCGAATGGAGTATCGGGGGTGGCCTATCCACATTTGAACAGGCACTTTGAGTTCGGAGCCTATATCTTATGCTGAGAGAGCGTCAACGGGGAGATAACTGGTGAATTGCATACTCCGCTTCTGGGATTCTATGATCGTACTTGCATTTCGAGTAACCAAATCCAAGGGCAAAGCTTGGATGACTGCGAGGAAGCTAACCCACGCACAGAGGAGCGTGAATAGACGTGATGATTGGAGTAACATGGATAACGTATTGGGTGATTGAAAGGCCTGAGAACTATGTATATTTCGGTAAGTCGAAAACAAATTGATGAGGATATCACCAAGGTCAACAACTTGCAGACATACCTAAAATCTTTCTTTCGTCGAACGTGACCTGCAAGTTGAGGGAAAACCTATTTTGAGCTGAATCCAGAAAAGTTCGGTCAAGTTGGGAGTCAGAAACAGAGCCGAAACATTCTACGTACCGAACCAGCCGCTGAGAGAGAGACCTTGAGCGACGGAACAAGGGATTTGAAGTATTTGAGCCTACTTACATAAATATATGAGTCTTTCACCATTTCCACGAACGTCGGATTTATCAGAAAATATATATAGAGAGAGGGATAGCATTTCCAAAGATTTCCAAATTTCCGTAGCGCTCCCGAAGGCTGACCAGCCCCGACCCTTGCAAGTTGAAACAAATTTTGCCCGAGCCTGTGTGATTTGATCGGCATTGTTGCTTGAAGCATGGTCAGAGCGCAGGGAGCCTAGAACAGCTGCGTGTACCGACTCGGAGCCATATGGGTTCAAGAACTGAGAATTGAGTCACTTAGTTGACGCCTGTTGACACAAAGAAACGGGTGTTCGATGTTCAAGCCGTAGATTGAGCCTAAAGAGAGACGGAGCTGTCGGAATTACAATAAAAAGTCGAGCTAAGCATCCTTCGACCGTAATAAAAGGATTTGGCTTTCCTGTTGAGTCGAATTGCGGCAGATCAATCATGGCGCTTGTCTAGCGCTTATAACTTACCCTTCATCCTGTTCTTCAAGTTCAATACAACCGCAGGAGACAAAAGTTCTTCTTTCTGTTCGTCAAATGGAAAATCAAGCATCGTCTCAGAACTCACAACAAAATCCACTCTTCATCCGTAATTTAACCACTCTTGGACACGTTGATCATGGAAAGACCACACTTATGGATTCTCTTCTCGCGTCCAATAATATAATATCTGCACGAATGGCGGGTAAAATTCGTTACATGGACTCTAGAGAGGACGAACAAGAACGAGGAATCACGATGGAAGCTTCTGCAGTTGGATTAAAATATCGAGTCAAAGACGGTGACATGTACGTCCTCAACATGATTGACACACCTGGCCATGTTGATTTTCAATCTGAAGTCTCTACTGCCTCACGATTATGCGATGGTGCGCTTATACTTGTCGATGTCGTCGAAGGTGTACAGACACAAACCACTTCGCTTCTACGGCAGGCGTATCAGGACCAACTTACACCGATATTGGTGCTTAATAAGATCGATAGGATGATCATGGAATTGAAATTAACACCCGAGGAAGCGTACGAAAGACTGGCAAGAGTTGTGGAAGATGTTAATGTGGTTATGGGTGGACTTTGGGGTGGAGAGAGAATGAAGAAAGCAGATAACGATACGGATACTGGCGTGGATGCTTCCGGAGGTGTCACTACAAAAGACGACGAAGAAGACGACTCTGGGATTTATTTTGATCCTGCTCAAGGCAACGTCATATTCGCCTCTGCCATCGACAGCTGGGGTTTTCGACCTTCGCACTTTGCCCGAATATTTGCGAGGAAATTGTTTGCTGAGCAGATCAAGTCAGGTAAACTCTCTCCTGAAGCGTCGAAGGAAAAGGAAGAGAGCTTGAAGAAAGTTATGTGGGGAGAGTGGTATTTTGATACAAAGAGTAAGCGGGTGGTCGGCGCGAAAGGGAAACGACCAGGCATGAAGACCCTCTTTGTACAGATTGTGTTGGAAAATTTGTGGCAGGTATATGATGCAGTTATAGGGAATCCGTAAGCATTCTTCGCTTTTTATTCACTATGTACTAATCGCCTTCATCCAAGAAATCCAGACAAGGTGTTGAAAATCATTTCCACCCTGTCGCTTACACTTCCCGCACGGGAACTTCGCTCATTATCGAACTTGACTTCGGCCTCGAGCTCGACCACAGATACATCCGCTACCAACAACTACCCCAAACATCTGTTATCACTGATATTCGCTCAGTGGCTTCCGCTCTCTACTTCCATCGTTCAGACTGTAATCGATATTGTCCCACCACCGCAGATGGCTCAGAGTCACAGGATGGGTAGAATGCTGGGTCTGGACAATGAGTCTTCACCTAACTCTACAGATGGCACCACGTCTTCATCTCCTATCCCTTATGAACACCTCTACAAGGCTTCGCCCTCACCCGCTGTTCCCGTATGCGCATACGTTTCCAAGATGTTCGCAGTCCGTAGAGGTGATTTACCAGAAGAGAGGGAGAATGCTAGGAGCGCTCAGGCGAAAGCGGCGCGCGACAGAAAGCGGGTCGCAGCTGAAAAATTGAATGAGGAGGTGAAAGTGACTGACGCTGGAGACGGCAACGACGGGAACGACGATGAGTTACAAGAAAAAGACCAGGAAGACCATCAAAAGGATCTGGATGAGGATATCCTTCTCGGCTTTGCGAGAATATACTCAGGCACCTTGAGTGCAGGCGAACAAGTCCTCGTCCTCTTGCCCAAGTTCAATCCTGCAATGGAGAATACTGCAGCGTCGCTTAACGATATTTCTACTGCGGTCGTACATCCCTCTAACGTACAATACGTTCTCGGCCTCCCATCAACTTCTTCGCAATCACTCGTCGCACAAGCCTCTAAAATGCACTCCTCTTCACAGCCTACTCATCCCACCCGAATCACCATCGCCGCCCTCTATCTGATGATGGGCCGGGAATTGCTTCCAGTGTCGAGTGTGAGCGCTGGCCAGATTTTCGCTGCACGATTCAAGTACGAATTTTCGTCGTCGACCAAGTCAAACCAAGATCTGGAAGAGAAAACCGGGAATACGAAGGAAGAGATAGAAAGTGTTGTTTGGAGAGGTGGAACCATTGTTCGACCCCCCTCTACACAAGGTCCCCGCCCTCATCACTCGTGGCTCCTCAACCTCGGTCGAATAACCCACACCGTTCCTCCCATAGTGCGTTTATCCCTCCTTCCTGCTCTCCCTGGAGACCTTCCTGCCCTCCTACGTGGTTTGAGAATCTTAGAACAAGCTGATCCATGTGTGGAGACATTCCAGATGGACGGGGGAGAGTGGGTAATCGGTGGAGCGGGCGAATTGCATCTGGAGAGGTGTTTGAAGGATTTGAGGGAGAGGTTCGCAAAAGTGGAGATCCATGCGTCGAAGCCGATTGTACCGTTTAGGGAGACGGCGATCAGGGAAAGTGGTCAGCGATACTATCATAGTATGCTTTTCAGGATTTTCTTCTCATCTTTAATCTAGAGATTCAACAAGCCGGGCAATCGTCTACTCAACAGCAGCAACAACAACAACAACAACAGATTGCGCAACACCAGCAACAGAAACAATTTCAAGTGCAGTTCGGAGGTGGTTCGACTGGTGGACCTACCGGTATGTCTGCCTTCATTTCCATCCCAATTACTCTCCTTACGTAGTTCACAGGTACTATTTCATCTTCAACCTCACCTAACGGTATAATCCAATTCACGATCCGTTGTGTTCCGCTCCCATCGAGTATACGAGAATTTTTGGCAGCGAAGAGACGAAGAGGGGTATTAACTCGTCTATCTCGTCCAAGGAGGGAGGGACCTCGACAACCCCAGGATGGAAGTCGACAATCACGCGAAAGTCAAGAAGAACGCGCTTTCTGGGATGAATTTGAACAGGTCTGTCGGAAGGAGGCTTTGAGGAAGGAAAGGAAGCATCGAGATGCGGATGAAGAGAAGTTGTGGAGGAATTTGGCAGAGAGGGTGTGTGCGTTTGGACCTTTGGGTGGAGAGAGGGGTGATAGAGGCGATAGAGGCGATGAAGGAACGGGAGACTCCGAATCGAAGGTGGATATGAGTGACTCTCCATCGGACACTTCGAGGACCAACTTAGATGACCCGCAATCTGAGTTGAACGATGGAGGCACGGATGCATACGATACGGGATGTGTGTTTGTCGATGCACGCGATGCGTACAATACGCAGAATGGGCCGTCAGACGATGCTCAAATTTCAAGTCCCGCAGCAGATTTCGATCCTCTCCCGTATATCCTCACTGGCTTCCAGCTTGCTACGAGACAAGGACCTCTATGTGCAGAGCCTGTTGAGGGTTTGGCGTATTTTCTAGAAAAAGTCGAGGTGAATCGGGAGAAATTGGCTGTTGAAATTGGTGGGTGTCTTTCGTTGGTTCTCTTTTTTTTCTATTGCCCCCTCTATCGTCCTTCCGCTGTACCGTATCTGCTGTCTGTCTTATCTGTCAATTTTCCATCCTATCGTGCCATTCATCTTCCAATGCGCATATTGACAGGGCTAACGATCATTATCTACAGAACAAAATCGCATCACGCAAACAACTGGGTCTCTAATATCTGCTGTTCGCGATGCATGTCGCAGTGCACTACTCGAGTGGAGTCCTAGATTGATGTTGGCGATGTATAGTTGTGATATACAGTGCAGTAGTAAGTTTTCGTTGTGTCATTATTTTTCTTATTCTTGGTTGAATGGTCTCCCCTCACCTCCCTCACATCATTGTATCTGTTCCTTCAACCCTTCTTGCACCGTCGTTCTTGATTTTCTGCTAACCCTTGGATTGAAGCCGATGTCCTTGGTCGCGTCTACGGTGTCCTCTCAAAGCGCAAAGGCCGGGTCGTCGCTGAAGAAATGAATGAAGGGACATCGTTTTTTACTATATCTGCTCGACTGCCCGTCGTGGAATCTTTTGGCTTCGCGGATGAACTGAGGAAGAGGACGAGTGGTGCTGCTGGGGCAATGTTGGTGTTCAGCGGGTGAGTCTTATGGGATATATTGTGCCTCCTTCCTATGCTTAATCTTTGCTCTACTTTTCTTCTGTCGTCTTCCAGCTACGACCTCCTTCCACTTTCCCCGTTCTGGGTCCCATCCACCATTGAGGAACTGGAGGATTTGGGTACGACGGCCGACAGGGTGAACCAAGCGAAAGTTTACATGGACAGTGTCAGAGAACGGAAAGGAATGTTTGTTGATAGAAAGTTGACAATGGAGCCGGAAAAGCAGAGGACGTTGAAGAAGTAAAGTTTCTTAATGAGTGCAAATGATGAGGTGTCCTGAATCATTTTGGTGATTTGTATATACGTTGAGATGTCTATTACCTTGCTTGCAATAGTCCAACTCACTTACATAAATCTTTGAATTCGCTGCAAGAAGGTTTCGAGACGAAATCGACGATTGTCTGCAAAAATCACGTGCGTTAAGAGACGAAGGATCGTCTGAAACGTTTGCGAATACGCTGGGAATGCCTTTATGGCAGATTGATTGATCTGCAATGGCTGTTGCGTCTCATGTGATACTGTCATAAACTCACTCTTTGTGCAGGTCAACCTGTTTGTTAGGGATCATGTTTTCCTCTGATTTGTTAGGTATATATATTCATGTGTGTATGGCCTTTGATAGAGGAAAAAACTCAAAGTATCACTGGAAATAGAAGTTTGAAGTGATGTTTGCAATTCTACTGAGATAATTATTCGCCGTCGTACTCTATCCAACCTTTCTTCTCTTTCCTTGCCTCCCGCCACCCATAGCTTCTGCCTCTCTTTTTGCTTTCATCCCCACACTTCTCATAACACTCTTCTTCCTCTCCTTCTCCTTCTCCTCCCCAGCCTTTTCTTTCCCTCCTTCTCTTTTCTCCTTCTCCTCCCTTTTCCCAGCCTTTTTCTCCCTCCTCCTCTTCACCTGATCTTTTCTAAGTGCACGGATCTGTTGTAAGAGAGCCACGGCACGTTTTTCTTCAGGCTCGAGGACCACCGCCCGTTTTTGGAGGTATGTTCGGCTGCTTTGCTTTCCTATGAGCTTTGGTTTGCTTTTATACGGTAACTCGCGGATGAGGTTCTTCGGCACCACCAGCGGAGCAAACTTTCCTTTCTTTTGTGTACGTTCTTGTTCAATAATGGATTTATGGGTGTATGTTGAGTTGCGCTGGAGGGGAGTGGGGATGTTGAGTGTGCGGCGGAGCGTTCCGGTTAGACGCATGCCGAGCCAGGTGGATTTGGTTTGTGGGGGCGACTCGTCGGATGAGGCTTGGGAGATGGTGGGAGAGATGGTGGGAGAAGGAAGGAGGAGCGAGGTGACGGGAGCGTAGAATTTTCGTGGCTGGACTGTGTACCATGCCCGGAGGAAAACTATGTCTGTAAAATAAGACCAAATCAGTCAGAATTTGATTAATGATATGACACGATCTTGAAACAAGTGAACCAAAAAAAAGACAGCTTACCACTCATCAACACCTTATCCTCAAACGCAGCCCTAAACGCTCCATCTCCGCCTTTCCCTCCCATATTCCCCCCAGCCACAGCCTTCTTTACTACCCCCCTCACGCCACTAACCGTTCTCACCCCCGCACCCTCAAACCTCGCCACCTCCAATGCACTACCAAACATCCCCTTGATAAATGCAGTGTTCTTGAACACCTTATACGGTGTCCCGGTGAGTTTGAGTTTTTTCACAATAGGCGAAGAGGTGCCGGGGGATAGAGACAGTAAAGTCCCAGTAGCTGATACCCTGAACCCGTTTCCTCCTCCACCTGAAGATGTAGGACCATCATAAACGCTATTGAACGCACATACACCGAGACCGGGAACCATACCCGGCCCCCAGAATGTAGCGAAACAGTGCATGTGGTCCGGCGTGTACTTAATCATACGCATTCGGATAGAATGGTCGTCGAGGGAATAGATGGGGAGTGTTTGGAAACGCCGCCAGCCGATGCTGAGGATAAGAGGGTCGTTGGATTTTAGGGGACGAGGATGGAAGCGGTGGCGTTTGAGGCGGAGACGGAGGAGGGTAAGGTCTGAGGATGGGGTGGGAGCAGTTTGAGAGGAGGATGTAGTGGAGGTGGATATAGGGAAAAACCCTTCCCCAGCACCCAACCCACCCAAAATTAACGGATATTCTGGATCGAAGAAATTAACCATCTCTCCAGGTACACCGTCCAATACCACCCTAACATAAGTCCCTGGGACGTACCCTTCAAGCTGTGCACGCAGTTCCGGGTCTTGAATGGAAGCAAAGGCGGTAGCGTTGAGAGATTGTTGTGTGGTGAGTTCGGCTTTTTTCTGGTCGTAGAACGTGGATGAGGGGTTTGAATTGGAAGGGTCGTCGTATTCTTCGTCGAAACGGGCTTTGAGGAGTGCCTTCTTGGTAGCAAGGGCGGAGCGGGAAGAAGAAGATATTGGTGGTGGGTCGGGGATTTTTTTAGCAGTGGATGGAGCGGAGGCGGAAGTTAGGGAAGGGTCACCGCCTGTAGCTTCAAAATCGACAAAATCCCCTCCAGATTCGTCGTCGTCGTCATCTTCTGCTCCGTCTCCTCCTCCATCTTCGCCAGTGGTCTCAGTAACAGCTGTAATAAACAACCTCCTAATACTCTCCAACATATCTTCGTCCTCCCATTTGTTTAACTCAGCAGAGGAAAACTCGGGTTTAGACTTGTCCGCGAGGTCAGAGAGGGTAGTCGACGAATCTAGTAGAGTATTTGCTGTGTCGTTCGAAGGTTTCTTGAAGAAAAACCCGTCGTCCTCGTTATCCATGTCGACGTCAACATTGCTCTTCTGCGCGTGCGCTGTAAGTGACGAAGACGAAGACGAGGAAGAAGAATGCTGCAAAACGATCTCTTCGGGAGAAAGATTAGTTGAATAAATATCTTTCGTCCAGTCTCTACGCGTTGGACGACGTAGAGACAGAGCCTGGGAGTCGAGATGTTTGGTTTTGGGGTGCACAGTGTCCCTGTCGTCGTCGGAATCCTCGTCAACCATATCAAGGTCTTCGCCATCTTCACCTTCGACTTCGTCGTCGTCCTCCTCCTCTATATAATTTTCGTCGTCGTCGTCGTCGTTGACGATAAAGCCTTCCTCGGCATCTTCATCTTCATTTTCATCACTATCACCCGAGTCAGAGTCGAAATCCAGACCCTTGCCAGTAGATTCAGCCTGAGGTAGAGACCGGGCAGGACGACGAGGCTGTGAACGACCAGTATTTCGAGGGTCGGATTGGACTTTGTTGAGTGTGTCGAGTTCGGCCTCGGAGCCTGAACTTTCTCCCTCGTCGTCAACAGAAGCAAAGTCGTCCTCGACCTCGTCAGCAGAAGAAGGCTCGTCGTCGTCGTCGTCGTTGCCTCCAACAGCCAACGGCTTCTCTGAACTCCCAAACAACCGAATCTTCGTTTGCTTCACCGCATCATCCAGTGTCATTCCCGCTTCCTGCAAATCCATAACCATCTTTTCTCCTTCACCTTCCTCGACCTCCTCGCCTTCCCTCCTCGTGAAGCTCCCTTTCACATTAACATACACCGCGTCCTTATCGAAACTGACTCCACCGAGATCACTCATGGGGGCATGCACAACTAACTTCCTCTTCTCGCTCATCCTCCTCCGCTTTTCTTCGTCTCCGCCTTTTTCTATAATCGGTACGGGGTCGACCATTTTTTCAATACTCTCTACCAGCAGATCACCAACACCGGGTATATGCACCTTTTGGCCTTGACCACGCCAGTTGGTGCCTCGGACGTAGCCGTAGACGGATATACGTCTATCGCATTTGGAGTGGGAGGTTCGGATTAATTCAGGAGGTGTTAGGTCCTGGAGTCTGTCGACGTAGATATACGGATGTGTATTCCGGAACACCAGGGGTCTGAATTTCATTACCCCGATGAACCTGGATAGATTCAGGATTTCTGTATCAGGGTATCGACCGTTAAGCACACCCGAGAGATAGAAAAGCTTCGCCCCTGGGTGGATCTCGGTCCAGAAACGCTTCTTGAGGGATTTTTTGGTCAGACGGAGGGTAGAGGGGGAACGGATTAGGTCAAGGTGGGTGAGGATTCCGATTACTTTTGGGAAGCCGTGTGTTTGTAGGATTGTCAGAAATTCAAATGTTTCCTGGTGGAGTGTTAACAATTAATGACAAAAAGGGAGGAAGACTTGCCATCTCGAATCCAAAACTTCCATCTATCATTAACAACACCAGATCCGCCACTTTTCCAACATCAATCATGCTACACAGCGAGTTATTACACTCTATGAATGTTATCCGTCTTTTTTTCCCCGCCACAACTGTTACAGGACCTTTCAACCCTTCGGAAACACTACGTTTGGTGTACCGCCGAACGAGACTGCTGAGGAGCGTGGACTTGCCGACGCCGGGAGGACCGACGATGGCTACGATGACCGGCGGAGGGAGATCGTCTGGGGTTCGGTTCACGAGCGGAACGTGGAGCCGTGTTTGGTCTTTCTCAGCGGCGCGTCGCCCGAGACGATTAGCGTTGTGTCCAGAGGTGGGTGCAAATGCCTGGGTACAAATAGATTGTACAGTGTTTAAAACAAAGTAGTCCAAATGCATACCTTTTCGTTAAATCCGTGCTTCTTCTCCTTTCCTTTCCCCTTTTCTTTCTTTTCAGCTTTACCCCCCGCCTGCGCAGGTCGATGCGCTTTATGTGGTTTGTCGTCCATCGTTTAAAAGTCAGAAAATATCGATAACTTATCGACGTCGTTCCAGAAGTAATAGTAGAACCGTTGAAACGGATTCTACTTAATATTTGACACTGTCCAGTGTTTCACGACCTTCCTGTGCCGTCGAATGAAAAGGAAGCGAAGCTGAACGCGAAAGATTAGATGAGAGAGATTAAAAAATTCCTTAGTATGGACCCCGTGACTACCTCTGTCAAAGAACCATTAGATTCAGCATATGTGGCTAAATGCTATTCCTTCTTAGCTCAGTTGGTAGAGCGCGTCACTAGTATAACGTGATCTTTGGAAATTATACCAATGACGAGGTCAGTCGTTCAAGTCGGCTAGAAGGAATAAGTAAGATGAAATTGCTTTGTATATTTCTGCATATTTGCCAATATGATTAAGACCTCACTGCCTTTTTATAGGCAAAAACTATTGAGAAACCCCTGTAGTTGCAGAAACCCGGGGTTCCTCGGGGAACCCTTCACGAAGTTCACTCCGAGGGTTTCCAGAGGTTCGGCCGGCGACGTGCCGAAGATTGATTGCCGCCATCTCGCTGGAGTTACTATGTTTTTTTTTTGTTGCCCTCGAACTGGTGATTGTCAATATTCCTTCTTGTTCACCATACTTAAATGTTTTTGTTGATGCATACTCCATACGTATGAGGGAGCAAGCTATGATTACACAGACTATACATGCATGTATATGCCGCACTTACCATAGAACTATACAGTACCACCAGCTATATCATGCCTTGTGGAAATGCACAAGCTCCCTCAGTTGTTCTGCTATCAACTGAGGTGAGCTCGGCAGTACATTCAGACCTAACTTTATAGTAATCAAATATGCTAACAGGTACCTACACAATCACAGTTGTTCTGCTATCAACTGAGTTAAACATTACACTAACAGTTTTATGTATAATCATGCATATGTACTACTGTAATACACAAATTCTGTTTCTCAAGTTAACACTGCATTGATAAATGAGCTTTAGTAGGGCCAATGTACCAAAAACTCAGCAAAGCCTGATTATACTCGGAGAATGAGAACCCTTGGACATTTTTATCCTTCATGTCATTCCTTAGCAGTCCTTCCATCAGCTTGTTAAATACTAGTAGCATTTCATGCATGTAACTGAGCACAGTTTTTTGTGTTGGTGAATACTCTGTACAACTGTCGTACGTATCACACTTACATACAACACGTACTACCTTGACACACAACATATAATGGTGTTATTATCCAATACTGTACAATAGGTAGTATATGGCACACCAGGCTGGTTTTCGTGGACCTCAGTTGGTTTATTGTCAACTGAGGTGAGCTCAGTCATATATACATGCACGACAGCATACTGACTTCGATAGCTTAACTCTAACAGGTATATACCAATACAACAGTTGGTTTATTGTCAATTGAGCTTAAATCTAACATTTTGAGTCATTCCAGTCACAGCAGCTTAGAATTGCTTTGAGCATCCTCCCCAACTTATTACAACTTGATAGAACTCAATAATGAGGCAAGGCCGGCTTGTGCCGTCCAGTGCCGCATTACGTAATTGGCCGGATCAGCCCAAAAGCAAAGGGTTGCTCAATAAAGACTGTGGGAATTCTCGGGGTTTCTGCAATGTTGGGGTTTCTCAATAGTTTTTACCCTTTTTATATCGACCCTTGCCATACATTTATTGTGTAACTCATCATAATCATTTGCGGAAAGCACAAAACACATATATTCATATTTCTCTTTTCCTACTATAGATAAGCTTTCATAAATTCTTGTTCAGGTGGATAGTCTCCCATGTCCCTACTGCCTTTTGATTGACATAACCACCAGCCTTCAACTTTCCTATCATATGTGTGATGAAATTCCATATCATCGAAGTTCTTCAAAGGCAGCTTCGTAGTAAGCACCTTGTCAATGAATTCCTTCCTCTGCTTCATCTGTGAATTTTACCTCACCAAAAGTCAGGTAAACATGGAGCTCATATATCAATAGTTGCTGCAATATTGGATGTCAAAGTTGTCTTTGTGGAGACCAGTGTTGGTATAAAACTGTTGGTTGGTCACTTCCAGACTTGCTGCATATTTGTTGGCAGTCAGTATTGTGTTGCCAATGCCAATGTAGGCCTTGTTATGGCATTTGATAGTGACACTGCAAATGTCCTGGATTTCTCCTTGGGTCAAGGCAGGGGCGGGTTTTCTCAGGTCACCGGAGGGGACAGGCGTACTTGGGTCAACAGCGGAGATGGGCTTGTTCAGCTCACTAGAGGGAGCAGGCAATGGTGATGCAAAAACTGCTAGTACCACTGTCCACTGTTACAACCTCTTCTTTTTATCTTATCTTTTCCTTATCTTGTCTTATCTTTTATCTCCCTTATTTCATATCTTGTCTTATCTTGTTTTATATTGTCACCTGACCTATTATTCATGCTTACTGATACGACATGTGCTTTTCATTTACTTATATGACTGGGGGTAAGGCCGCAAGTGGCAGGTGCTGAACACTTTCAATTATTCATCTGCTATATCTGCAAAATGGGCTGAGAGTATATCCTAGTGCTTTTACTGCTGGGAAATGCTCTCAACTGCTTTTGAACCCTCAACCAAATACAGGCTTTCACTGTGAGAGCCAAAGAACCTGAAAATCAGGTTCCTTGTCTCTGAATTCAGAGTTTCATGCTATATACAATGAATTAGTATTTCAGGTCGGTGACACAGTTCAGTGCAAAGCTTATGATCTAAGTACAACAAGTGTGCCTTGCTAATTCATGTAACTTGACATGAAAATCACTGTAAATAATCTTATCATATTCATAAGTTTCGAAGTGAATATCAGGGAAACTGGTCAAGCATTATATGTTGCACCGTCCACCTGTTCCATGACATCTGGACGCCCAACAATTAACCACCACCGTTTAGGGTCATCCCATACTCTGCCCACCAGCCCTAGGATAGTTGAGATATCCATGATTTCGTCACTTGAAAAATGCTGGTATGCGGGCATTCGCCTGGACAGGCCTTCAAGCTTTGCCGGGGAAATTAGAGCAAGTGCAAGAGTTCGTTCCTGGGAATCTAGACGAGCGCCATGAAGCTGAGACTGCATCCAAGGGAACTCATGAGGAAGATCTAGAACAAAATAAAATTTTACTTGTCCATAAAATGCAGCCTGAGTCATGATCTCTTCTGCCCTACGGCGATGCCTATTACGGTCAACTTCCAGGCAATACTGCAGATTAGCTGGTCAGAATTGTTTGAAGGTAACAACAGGACTGCAAACCTTGATGTAGCTTGCGTCGCATCGGGTAGTATCAGGGTTTTTGTAAGCAAAGGAACTGTGACACGTATCACCCCCATTGATGAATTTGACTTTGCCGTAGACATGAACGTGTTTGGGAATGAAGCGAATGATATCTCGAACCTGCATTCGTCGGTCAGCATAGTTAGTTACCACATGCGCAGCAATCTTGTTGCGCAAATTTTGGACCAGTGGAAACACACGGTCTTGCGGTGCAAGTAGTACAAAATCAGGATCTAAGTATGTCAGCTGCAAGACATACTATGAACATATTGAAGAGCTCACAGTCTGCCAAGTGTCGCCCACTAGTCTCTGCTTCATGAGAATCACTCAAATCTAACTCCCTAGTAAGACCATAAACTAGCTTGATCTGATTAAGTTGCGCAACATCGCGTAAATGACTGGCCATACTTGTGTATGGATATCTCCGACTGGAGACCGCCCGCACAATAGCGCCGCAGAAGCATTCTGTTGGAAAATTCCAGTAACACCAAAGAGGGCCCATTGTACTGACATTAACAGGAATGTGCAACATCGAGTAAATTGGGAGTGTACATGCCGAAACACACCAGAGGTCATAGCAATAATAAAGTCTGAGAAAGAGATCAGAAAAATCAAATATGATCAAAATCTTCTTACCATTCATAGTCTTCAACCCATTGAATCACAGCATTTTCAAGTTGCTCGATTTTGTTATTTGTCATAAGGCATTTGAGGCAGAGATTGAAGATATTGACAAGCTTCAGGAAATGTCGGTAATATGGGGTAGCAAGGTGTCCATGGAGCAATGCTGGACCAAGGAACATGAGAAAGGTAAACCAGTTCTCAGTCTTGAACTGGTATCGCTCTGTTGCAATGTTAGGTACACGTGAACCGAAGGCAGTTGGTACTGTATCACCCAATGATGAACAAGCTCGTCCAATTTCCTCCCACTCTGCTGAGTCAATGATATAGTCCTCATTCCCATTGGTCATCTCTTTGAATGTTCCGGTCCAGTGAGCAACAAGCGAAGGAACAATATTGCCCACAAGATGCATAAAGTCAAATGGGAACGAATGAGGAATAGAGAGCGAGGAGATGGAAGCGAAGAGGGGAATTCCATTGATACCATATTCATGAGAAAGAGCATCACTTTCGTCATTGAGAACAGAATGTGCCTGCTCAATAAACTGGCGATGAGAACAAAGAGGGAGGTCTCTGGGCCTATAAGGATCACCATTGTTACGATGAAGTGGGGTGTAGAGTGTTCTTGGTTTAGCGGGATCAGCAATACCATGTATCAAACACATGCGACACGGTGAATACCCATTCACACCTTTCATCCGCATGAGTTTTGCAATTGCAGGCATATCACCGAATATGTAGAGCAGGTAAGCATGCAAAGTGAAACGATGCTCAGCTTCAGCATTGAATGCAGTCACACCTTGCATAAGGGTCTCGAGCTCCAAGAACAGAGGGAAAATAAAGGAATCAAAATCATGTGGAGCTTTGGGACCAGGAATGACACTGAGGCAAATTATGTGAACAATATGAAAGCGTATTTTGGGAGGGAGATCAAGGTTGAACAAGAGAAGTGGCCAGCAAGTCTTTTTGCGACTTTTGAATGGACCAACACCATCAGTAGACAATGCCAAGGCAATGTCAGTGACATGCTCATGTCACGAAGCGGCAAAGGTGGAGTGACTAATGGAGCAGGAGAGCGGAGTGACTAAGCAGAGCGGCAAGACGGAGCGACTAAGCAGAACAGAAGCAGGCTGGTCCCAGATAATGACAGAGATATATTGAGTATCGTAGTCATAGGTAATAGTAAGTAAACACATACCTGGTCCCAGATAATGACAGAGAGGTCAAGATAAGGGACCAGGCTGTGGAGGGTTGGCTATATATACATAATCCGATCTGCGAGAAACAACGATATAATACTGTACAGTTCAGGGGCAAGGAAGGTGGCGGAAGATAGAAAGAGAAGGTGGGTCAGGTGGATCAGTAATTGATGGGGGGTGACAGCGATGGGATGATGTATCGTACAAGTAAAGGCATCGAGATGGTGAGAAAGGGAAAATGATAGGGGCTGCGTACTTTATGACAGCTCAAAGAAGCGATGGCCTAACCGTTCCATGCCGACACGTACAAATTCACGACAAAGATGTCGATAATGAGTCCTGTCAAAGACATCAGCTACTCCTGTGGGCTCAGGATTGTATTCAGCACGATAGTACATCTTTTGAATGGTAGTAGAGTCAAGGAAGAGGTTTACGAGCCGTGGGATGAGGGGAATATATTGAAAGGTGTTCCGTGGCCTGTTTCTACTATCATTCCGAGGCTCATTACAGTAGGGGCAATGGTCGCTCTTCTCATGTATCCATGTATAACAGATACATGAATTCATGCAACACGTATAGCTGACAGGCTTGATATCACTCAGGAATGAAACCCGCGCCTGAATACAATGGAGGGTCTTGAGATTTGGAACAAGTTTCAATCTATGCAACTTTTCAAAGTTCCGGCTACCCAAGTTAGTGTCTGTCAAGTCCATGCCTCGGGCCTCCATTCCGCCGCTCGGTATCCCGAAGATCTGCCCTTTATTGTAATCTCTTCTTATTGTTCTTTCTCGCTACACATACCCTTTCATTCTAGTCTCTCCTTATTGTCTTTTACTCTACCCTGCAGGTACTACTCGTATAGCTCCTAGTAGTTAGTCTGGCGCTCCGCACCGCTGCGCCGTTTCGTAGATATAAATACTGCCTGTACGCTACTGTAGTTCCTCAGTTTAATTATCAACTTAGATCTCCCTTCCCAACTTAGTTCCTCTCTCAGTCTTCAGGCTCAACGCCTTGAAGTACTGTTAAGATCATGTACACCGTGTAACCGTGCCAAGGCCACAAGGTGTCTAAGTGCGGAAGACGAGTGGGACAGTAGTGAAGTTATTAACAACACCGCCGTTACGCCGTTAGTCCCCGGAGATCGAGAGTATAGGAAGAGGAGCTAAGTAGCAGCCAAGTTGGAGTGGCGGTATCGCCGATGACAAGGAGTGGACCAGAGGATGATCAAGTCCTAAGGTCGAATAGAACGTACTTCAAGGCGTTGAGCCTGAAGACTTAGAGAAGAGCTAAGTCGAGAAGGGAGATCTAAGTTGATAATTAAACTGAGGGACTACAGTAGCGTACAGGCAGTATTTATATCTACGGAGTGGCGCATCGGTGCAGAGCGCTAGACTAACTACTAGGAGCTATACGTGTAGTACCTGCAGGGTAAAGTAAAAGACAATAAGGAGGGACTAGAATGAAAGGGTATGTGTAGCGAGAAAGAACAATAAGGAGAAATTACAATAAAAGGTGGATCTTCGGAATACCGAGCGGCGGAATGGAGGCCCGAGGCATGGGCTTGACAAGTACGTTCTACTCAACCTTAGGACTTAAAACGTTCTTTGGTTCGCTCCTCGTCACCGGCGTCACCGCCGCTCCGACTTGGCTGCTTCTCAGCTCCTCCCTTCTATACTTCCGACCTCCGGGGACTAATGGCATAACGGCGGTGTTGTTAATAACTTCACTACTGTCCCACTTGTCTTCCGCACTTAGACACCTTGTGGCCCTGGCACGGTTTCACGGTGTACATGATCTTAACAGTATAATTAAACTCAATCCGTTAACATCGTACTGACATATCATTTTTTATGCCTCCGAAAACCCGAGCTCAATCTAGAGCTAACTCCGAAGAAAATACTTTCTTCACCACAGCCCAATCATTTGCCCCATTCTCCGACTCTATTTCTGCCATCGGTCAACCACGTCGCCGTAATCGCGGTTTCGGTCCAGCTACAGTCCCTACTACGTCAACTCTTCCTGAAGCTATGGAAGAAGGACAACAATTTGAATACAGCACTCTGTATACCGGTGATGGACAACCTGTCCAAGTCTTGACCCCTCGCCGCGGACAACCCCCCGTGGTCACTCCGGCTCGGGGCCATTCAACTACTTGAATTGATTCTCCAATTCTCCAAGCCATAGCCCACCATATGGGGAAACAACCCCAACGTAGAGCTGCTTCAGAATCTCCTCGTGACCCGCCTCCTCATTTCGATCTGGACGCTGGTGATCACGATGATCAAAACCCTCCTGTCGAACCCGACGATCCGGGTGCCGACAATAACAACGACAATCTGGATGATGACTCCGGCGGTTTACCGCGTGGTGAGCCTGGTGACCCCAGTGGACCCCGTTCTCCTATCTCTCCTGACATCCCCAACGAGCAACGTGCTATGTTGGAACTTCTCTCGGGATTCAAGGGTTCCATTGAAACCCTCGGTACCGTTCTCGCCGCACTCGGCCGTCCCTCTGACAGCTCTGAATCTAAGAGCAAGGTCAAGGAGCCAGAGGTATTCGACAGTTCAGACCCCCGAAAACTCAAGACGTTCTTCGTCAATCTCGCCCTGGTCTTCAATGACCATCCAAAGTACTTCACCGACCAATGGAAGGTGAATTATACTCTTTCCTATCTCAGTGGGTCAGCCAAAGTATGGTTTGTTCCTGATATTCTCGACCCAGATCTCGACTCGCTGCCGGCATGGACGTCCTCCTTCAAAGCTCTGGTTAAGGAGCTACAGGACAATTTCGGCATTTACGACGTGCAAGGCGAGGCCGAAGATTCTCTCGGTAATCTGAAGATGAAGGAAACCGAGAACATCCGGAAATACAACATCCGGTTCAATACCCTGGCTGCTAGTACCAACTGGGATTCTGCTGCCCTGAAATGGGCCTATGGACGAGGTTTAGCTGAACGCATCAAGGACGAAATGGCGCGTTTGCCTGAGCCGGCAACGCTCGCCGATTACCATCAAGAGGTTCTTCGCATTGACAACCATTATTGGAAACGCGAGGAAACTAGAAAGCGTGAGGCTAGTAAGCCTTTCATCGCTCGGAACCCGAAGAAGGGTTCCTCGGACTTTAAGACTGGTTCTACTAACCAGCAAAACAACTCTCAGCCATCTGGCTCTTTGGCGCCGTTCATGCCGAAGCCTAAACCCTTCTCTGGTGGTAAGCCCCAGAACTCTTTGAATTCCGGCCAATCTAGCGGTCAGCGCCCCGCGTTCAATCATCTTGGTGCAGATGGGAAAGTCCTTCCCTCCGAGAAGGAAAGAAGGATGAAGAACAATCTTTGTCTCTTCTGCGGTGGTAAGCATCAGATTGCTGACTGCAATAAGCGAAAGGCCAGAGAATCAAAGGGCCATGCTGCCGAGGTTGAAGAAACCCCCGAAGCAACCATTGAGGTTGTTGAAGAGGAATTGGAAAACTAGTCCGCAGCTCTTGTTCCCCGGTACGAAACGGGAGCTGCGTTGATCAGGTTTGTACCTCACCTGGGGAGTTATATCTCAACGCGTCCGCTCTTTCTTCTATTGAATGATCTCTTGTAATATCATTAACTACTGAATTTCTTTTATCCGATTCGGCCGCGCCGGCCAAACCCATCTCTGCCCTTCTCAAATTTCCTACTCTTGTTGATTCTGGTTCTACTGACTCTTTCATCAATACTCGTTAT